TGATATACTCGACGAGCCTGTTGTTGAAAATGCTTCTAGTGAGGAACTAGTTTTGGCAGAGCAACCACCACCGCCGGAAGTTGTCAGCGAATCAAAGCCACCGCAAAAATCACTTAAAAGGAAAATAGCAATATCAGAAGTCGATAAAAAGAAACCAGAGACCAAATCTGTAGAAAATAAAGATAGTGCAAAAAAAAATAGTTTTGAATAGAGCATCTTCTGTAACTGTATCAACAAAACCTGCAGAAGAAAAAGTACAAGAAAAACATGAGAAGATAATATCTTCAGAAAGTAATAAAATAAAAATAACTGCAGATTTAGATCCCAAGACTAGATTGGAAATGAGAGCTAAAGATTTGGACTTCCTATCCAAATGACTGAAGCAGAGAGGAAGGAAGCTAGAAAACAGAGATTCAGCCAAAACACAACTCCAAATCCTGATAAAGAGACTTATACAGGCTCCTTGAATGAGAATCTTTTAAAACTTAAAAAGAGAGCTGAGAGATTTGGGCAGAATGTGTCTAAAATTATGACAGATATTGAAAACAAGGAGAAACTTGAGAAACGCAAAGAAAAATTTGGAACTGTCAAATAAAAATTTATAATAATACAATTTAAATTTTAGATTTTGTATATAACATGTAATTCCAATCAGAAGGCTTGTGTGCACTTTAATATTTCAGATCTAAGTTATCTTAATTTTATATTATAAAAATATTTAGTTAAGAAATAAATGTGTAATAAAAGGTGGTATTATTTTATTATAATCCATATTCATTAGAAATAATTTTATTCTTCCTATGAAATATTTATTATTAACAATATTAAATCTATTTTACAATAAAAATATACAAATCTGGACTATATATATATATATATATATACACAGTTTACATTTTTAGTATTAATTATATCTCCCTAGTCTGTTTCAATAGAACTAATCAAAGCAAACCATATTTTATTGAAGTTATAACAAACTAAATGAAATTAGTAACAAATCATTTGGCTATCAACAAACAGTCTTACATAGTTGTTTATATTTTCATTACGTTACATTATATTGCATATTGATGGTTAATAGCTGATATGCTGATGAACTAGAAATAATTCTGGATATTTTTTTCAATCAAGATTTTTTATAAAACTGGGAGTGGTAAACAAGCCGATAGACTATATGATGGAATAGTGACTTATGAAATATTTAAACTAATTTACACATTGAAGAAAGGTAGCTCCATAAAATCATCTAGACAAATTTCAGTTGTTGCTGCTATCGACACAGTTTCATTGTCCTTACGAGAATCTTGTGGTATATGTATAACATATTCCATATAAGGTTCCTTATATATTTTTGCCCACCGTACTGCTGTATCTTTACACAGAGCTTTCCTAAATGCCATACTGTGCATGTGTTTTGATTTCTCATACTTGATTCTAGTAAATCCAATACAGGACAATGTATACCTCCAACATTTCATAATTTTATAGTTTGCTCCAACATGCTTTGAATCTGGTGTGTTTATTATTAACAGACCACCAGGTTTTAATAGCTTGTAAGCATTCTCACAGGCTTTGATCCTTAGTTTAGAACTAGGGATATACTCTAAAAGGAAACAAAATGTAACTACCTCAAAATAATCTTCTTTTAATTGTTTCACTTTATTATTGTTAATAGAAACGGTATTACCAATAGAAACATGTAAAAAGTCACATTGTTGTACAGAATCATTTGCAGGATATAAATCAATAGCTAACACATCAAAGAAATCATATATTTTGAAAGGATTATAACAACTTCCCACATCAATAAGTTTCATAGGGTATGTAAAGGATTCTTCCATATTAAACGGGATATTTAGTTTTTCTGCAATTTCATGTTCTTTATGTCTGTATTTCATAAATGATTTACTGATAAAGTAATCAAAACATACATCTGCTGACCATGTAATGCGAGACGTAGCATCGGTTAATGCACTGTTAGAACTTGCTTGCCAGTGAATAGTTGCTAATTTTTCCATGTAGTGTGCATAAGTTTTAAGTATGTCTTGATTCTTGCAGTGTTCTAACCAGGCTTTTTCTGCACCTATTTTTGCAGAGGATTTTCTAAGCGATAAGTGAACATTTTTCAAAAATTCAGCAATTTCTTTATGTTCTTCACTAGCCATGATGCATTCGCAATTTCATATGCATCGAAATATGAAGAGGTTATTTTATATGCAATATAAATAACTGAAAAACGTAATAAGTATAAAAAATTTAAAAGTAATGTAAATAGCAGTGGAGTCGATTCTGAGATACTGTTTCTCTAAACCTATTTCTAAAATTAAAACTTCAATTTGATATTACAGTGAAATTTTTATTCTAAGGACCAATATTAATTATTCTAATTTCTATTAAATTTAAGTCAAAATTATTATAAATGTAGTTTATTATAAAACAGTAATTATGCAAAATTATCAAATTCAAATATTAGATTAAGAGATAAGTTTTGAGAAACGACTTCCGAATTGGTCCCTTGTAGTGATGGGATTCGAGTTGCTTTTCGCTCGAGTGACTCGAGTAGGTTTTATATTACTTGCATTCGAATTAAATTTTTGACAGCTCGAGTTTCGAGTGACTCGTACCCTTCGAGTGGTGGAGTCTATTTATACTATGAGTGAGAAATTAAAATTGTGATAAGTTTACCCGCTGTAGCAGGAAACTTTTAAAAGAGAAAATTCTTTCTGATGCTTATCATGCCGCACGCACTGTAATTGTAGATATTCTACATTTAGTTGAATATACGGCTGCTACAACAGATTTATGGACTTCTGACAGTAATAAAGCATACCTATCAATTACAATACATTTCATTTATAATTCAAAACTTTTTTCGTAAACTATTACTAGTATAAAAGTTCATAAAATAATATAAATACTTATTATTATTATTATTTAAATATATATTGTATTTAACATCTCCCTTTTTATGGGGGTAAATGTTCAACCATGCGGGCCTTAGCCAAGCAATGGTTGACTTTAAATTATATATGAGGATGATGACAATGATGAGGAAAGAAATTTTCTGACTATGCGGCAGGTATTGAGGATGACCGCTTTCTGTAGCAAATCTATTGTATAGGTAGGAATTTGTAACATATCTAAATGCTTGTGAAGATTTTTGGGTACGATTCCTGTAGACGATAGTACTATGGGTATTATGTGGATGGTGTGCGCTTTCCATTGCTTCTTTATCTCTATTGCTAAGTCTGTATATTTTGATAGTTTTTCATTAATAGTGCTTTGTATATTGTGTGTATTCGGAATAGCTATGTCAACTATGTATACTACATTATTGTCTTTATCATGTATAGTTATATCGGGTCTATTGAAATGAATGGTTTTATCGGTAATGATGGTTCTATCCCAGTATAGTTTACAGTGTGCATTCTCAAGTACGTTGGTTGGGTTGTATTTATAATATGGAACTTTATTTTCTATGAATTTATATTTATGTGCTATATATTGATGTATAATTGAAGCGACTTGATCGTGACGATGTTTGTAATCTGTTTGTACTAGTGTCTTGCAAGCACCTGTAATATGTTGGATAGTTTCGGAAGCACTATTACAGTGTCGACATGAGTCACTAGGCAAATTGCGGTCCTTTATTATGTGTTTTGTATAGTTTCTGGTAGCTATTGTCTGGTCTTGTATTGCTACCATAAATGCTTCTGTCTCTGGGAAGAGTTCGCCGCGTTTCAGCCATTTGTTCGATGCATTCTTATCGACATATTGTTGGCAAAGGTCCGCTCTGTGTCTTCCGTGAAGAGACTTTTTGCTCCAGGTTTCTATTTTTTGTTGTTTAGTCGTTATTTGTTCATTATATTGGGCACTGTTGTCATGTAAATTAAGAGGTGTAAATCGTTTGTCTATTTTTATTGCATGTGCATATAGTGATGATTGTTCAGATTTATTATGAAAATATTTTCTTAGTGACTGTATCTGCTTATTATGAAGATTTTGGATATCAATGAGGCCTCTTCCACCTTCTTGGCGCGGTAATATAAGTCTTTGTGTACATGATTTCGGGTGATGTTTTCTATTTTGTGTCATGTGTGTATTTATGATACGTTGTAATTTTTTTAAATCTGTTTGGGACCATTTAATTATTCCAAATGAATACGTGAGAACGGAGATAACATATGTATTAATTGCTTTAACTGTATTTCGTGAATTCAAATGAGATTTCAGTATTCGGTTTAATCTATACTTTAGTTTTTTTGTTAAAGTATCTTTGATTTCTTTTTGTCGTATTTGTTTAAACTGTAGTATGCCTAAGTATTTGTATGGATTGTGTTCATCTAAAGATTCGATATGATTTCCATCTTCAAGAGAATATGTATTTTGTTCTACAGTTCCTTTATTTATTGAATGAATTTTGCATTTATCTATTCCAAATTGCATATGTATGTCCTGAGAAAATTTCTGGATAATATCTGCTAACGTGAATAATTCTGTTTTAGCGGATCCATAAAGTTTTATATCATCTATGTAGAGCAAGTGAGATAATGTTATATGAGTCGTAAGATGAAATCCTTGATTTGTACTATTTAAGAGTTCAGATAGTGGATTCAGGGCTATACAGAACCACAAAGGACTCAGAGCGTCTCCTTGAAATATACCCCTTTGAATATGAATCGATTCAGTAGCTAATGTGGAATTAGGTTGATTAATTTTAAGCGTTGTTTGCCAGTTTTGCATGATTGATTTCAAAAAGTTTACTATTGTTGGGTTAATATTGTAATGTTCTAGAATTTGGATAAGCCAGCTATGTGGGACCGAGTCAAAAGCCTTTCGGTAATCGATATACATCGTGTGTATATTTTTCTTTTTTTTAATGGCTTCTTTCATTACTATTGCGTCTACTGTTAATTGCTCTTTGCAACCTTGGCTTTTCTTTCTACACCCTTTTTGTTCTTCTGCTAATATTTTATTGTTTATCAGATAGCTATATATAGTTTCACTTAGGCATGCTGTTAATATTTTATAAAATGTTTGGAGGCAGGTTATAGGCCGGTATTTAGCTGGATTTTTGGTGTCAGTATCTTTAGGAATCATATAAGTTACTCCTTGTGTTAGGTAAGTAGGCATTGAAATTGGTGATAGAATGAATTGGTTAATGTGATTGTATATTAGGGGGTGAGTGCTAGTAAATTTTTTGTACCAGAAGTTATGGATGTTGTCTGTGCCTGGTGACTTCCAATTATGGGTTCGATTAATAACACGTGTAAATATTTCAGGAGTTATACAATTGAATGGCATTTCTGAAGTAGTTTTCTTTAAATTTTGAATCCATTGAGCATCGAGGTTGTGCTTGATAGGGTTTTGCCATATGTTTGACCAATATGCGTGTAGTTCTTGTGGATCAGGCATGTCATTAACTGGTAAATTTTGTGGTTCCATGTTTCTATAAAATATTCTCTCATTGTTTGTAAATTGATTGTTTTGTGTTTTTCGCATTGTGCATGCCAAATATCTCTTCAGCCTATTAGCAGTTGCACTAAGCTTTTGTTTTAACGTATCAAGAAATTGTTCCGGAGTGCTATTCCTGTTTTCATGTTGTGAGTGTATAACATGTCTTGTTTCAATATCCTTTACTGATTTTATTATGTGAGGACTATGATTACCATTGATGAATTGTGTTAGTCTTCCAATGTCACCTCTTAATTTTTCTATTTTCTGTTCGATCCTTCTTTGCCACCGTGGTTTCTCTTGCGTTTTTCTTTTGTATGTTCCTTCCATATATATTTTACAACCATTACAAGTTGCTGTTGTGAATGCTGCACAGTATATTATTGTCTGCAATGTGATGAAATCTTGATCTGCTGTTAAATGTTCGGGTATTACGTTTTTATTAATGTAATCTATAATTAAAGCTACCTTCCTTGACGATCTTTGTTTCGGTATATATGGTCTTCCAGTTGGGTTCGATTCTTTGAATATCTCAAGTGCCTTCTTAAATTCGTGTTGAATCCTTTCTTCATCAATATGATTTTTTAATTCTGTGCTATCATTCCTTGAACGTGTCCCTATATTCTCTCGTTGTGATGAATTGTGTTGTATTTGTGAAATTCCTTCTTGTGTAAAAGTTTCAAATGAGGCCTCAGTTAGTGTGTCAGGTGGTTGTATATATTGATCATGATTGAGCGTATGAGTGTGAGACTCTGCGTAAGATGTATTCAGGGTTTGAGTATTATGATTGTTTATCAGATTTATCGGATTATGTGTATGTAATTGTGATATATGTAAACCGAGTCCGCCTAATCGCACTGACATATTATCATTAATTATAGGTGTTGAAGTGTTCTGTTTTTGTATCAATACATCTTTTTGTATTTGTTGTAGCCTATTTTCACAAATAAATTTATTTTTTACTATTGCTCTTCTTTGATCTGCTATGCGTTGCTCAGATACATGGGATAGACTGGGGTAGCAACTAATAAATTTTTTGTATAGTTTCTGCCTGTATGCTGTCATATTTGTTTCGCCATCTGTTATATCATAATAACACTGCATTAATGTCTCATTGATTTCTTGTGTCCATTTCATTCTACTTCCAGGGTTACTATTTGATGTTTGTGTATGATTGTTTGTATGAGGATTTAATTCAAGATGAGCTATTACTTCCGATCTAATTACTGCTAGTTGATTTGATGCAATTAACTTGTTTCTAACTATTGCTCTAATTTGGTCTCCTAATCTTTGCTGTGAAACATTCATTTCTGGAAATTGCCGAGTAAATTCTTGATGTAATGGTTTTAAATATGATTTCATGTTGTTTTCGTTGTGTGTAATGATGAGATACGTGCGCCATATAAATTCGTTCATTTCCTTTGACCATTTTTTCCTTGCACGATTTAAGCTAGCAGTGGGCACAGGATCAGTGGCTTCTGCCTCCTGCACAACATCTGCCAGTGATGATGATGACGATGATAAATTTGATGTGTTTTGAAATGAAAGAGTTGATGGAGATGATTGAAATAAACTGCTATTAGATGATGATGGCGACATATTAGATGAGTTAGTATGATTGTGATTGTCGGCTGTAGTATCTTCGAGTTCATTCCCGGCGGGGGCCCGCCTGCTCAGCTCCCCGCCACCGGTGGTCCGTATCCTGCCACACCCAGCACCGGCTCCAGGTGCGCCCCGACGAACTCCGGGAAGCGGCCGCAAATTATATTTTCCATTCGACATTTTTATAAGGTTATGGTTTTGGGACCGTTAGTTCGGAAGGTTTTACTCAGATGTTGATGAGCTTTGTAATGCGTACTCCCAATAGGGGTGAGTCTGGATGTTATGACTAGGGTTGGTATCCTTTCCTTAAGCCCCCCCACCACGTCAAGGTGGCCCCCTGGGGGGGTTATTATTATTATTATATTTATTATTATTAATTATAATACTTACTTTTCAAGAGCTGTTAGCAGTTTACGCAGACTCTGCCCCTGATAAAACCATGGTTTATAAGTGGTATGGTCTTTTCAAACAAGGAAGAGAGTCTATTGAAGATAGTCCCCCCTCCGGACGGCCAATTGACGCCAATACACCGGAAATCGTCGCAAAAGTAGAAAAACTTGTATTAGGAGATACCCGGCTGAAGGAGAAGCAGCTTACAGCACTAGTTGGAGTATCCGAAACAAGTATTTTAAATATTATACATCATCATCTTGGCATGACCAAGGTCAGTGCAAGATGGGTTCCAAGAATGCTCACGCCACTTCAAAAGTTTTTTTTTTGAAGCCAGTGCTATTTTTTGCAGCTCTGTGAAGAGAGTAGGGAAGAAGTTATGGCCCGGATTGTTATTGGAGATGAAACCTGGGTTCACCACTATGAACCCAAGTCGAAGCAAGAGTCGATGCATTGGCATAAAAAAGGCACAACTCCTTTGAAGAAGTGTCCTAATCGGCTGGAAAGATCATGGCGAATATCTTTTGGGATACAGAAGGTATGCCTATAACGAGACAGTACTACGCTACTTTACTGGATCGATTGAAAAAAAGAAAAGAAAAGCTGTCAAAAGGTGTGCTCTTTTTGCACGACAACGCTCCCGTCCACACGTGCCATGTTGCGACGCCTGCTATCCACCGATGCGGGTGTGAAAATTCCAGATTGGCTCACAGTGACTATTATTTATTCCCAAAAATGAAAAAGGAGCTGCCTGGAAAAAATTTTGGCGACGATGAAGAAGTCTAGTCTGCAATTTTGGCCTGTTTTGACAGCAAAGATAAACTTTTTTTTTTTTGATGATTCGAAAAATGTATTAAGAGAGAATATATTAAAAAGAAAAAAAAAAGGTTCATATTTAATTTCAACCTCCTTCCCCATCATTCCGCGAACTTTATGACTTCCTCTCGTATTTCAATCTTTGTTAAAACATATTTTAAAAATTGTAGTATGAAAATGCAAAATTTTTAAGTTAAAACTTTGTAAAAGTGTGTTTTTGTTATCTTTACGGAGGGCTATTAAAATACTTTCTTATTATTCCTGATTCATTCTGTTCATATTTATTATTGTAAATAGTTTATGTTATGAATGTGCACGGTTCATGGCGTGCTGTTATGCATTATTTAGTAGAAAATAATTTAGGTGATGTGTCGTCTAATGTGACGTAAATAGAAAGGCACTCGGTTACTCCGAACATTTATAAAGTAAATTAAAGTACGTATTTTAATTTACTTTATAAAAAAATATTTAAAATTGGGCATTAAATACCTATATTCGAATAAATGTAAAGTAAACTAAAAGTTTGCGATTTGGTCAAACCAATTTACAGTTAAGTAAGTTGGTTTGAACTGTTAATAAACAAACAATTTCAAAAATAAAAGGATGCTCACTGGTCCGCGTGACGATCTAGCGTTGGCCCACGAAAGACAAGCTTCTATTCAGCATTATTTAATACAGTTAAGTGTTTGTTTGGCCAATGGTAAATTTTTAGTTTCAATTTCACATTTATTAAAATATATAAACTATGATGTGTCTTTTATCTAAGAAATACTGTATAAAATAAAAAAAAGTAGCTTATAAACGGGATATATAGAATTCATTGGATGAATAGAAACGGTTTCGGTATACTGGTTAGTTCATTATAATTATTTTGTTCAATGGTTTCGGAAAAGATTTTCTATATGGAATTAATAGATATTGATAACAAAAAAATAATAATAACAAAAGTCTAATTTATTTTAAAGACAAATATAAGTTTAAGTATTTAAACAAAAAATACTTGAAACTTGTTTTTTTTAATGAATTAAATTTTAATAAAATATTGACCAGTTCAATATATTTTTTTAATTGATTAAACGAAGTGAACAGAAACATATTGTGACTTCGTTTTAATTTTTTTCAGACGAATCTGCCTGAACAGTAACATTTAATAATTCTACGGTACGTAAATGCGGTGTCATAATCTTTAATATTTGGGTATTTATTATCAAATAAATAGTGCAGTTTTTTTAATCTTTTAAAATCTGTAGTCTGGAAGTGACTAGAAACAAGAGATAGGTCAATAGAAAAATTACCGGGATTGTCACTTTTATAAAGTAAATTTAAGTATGTGAGTAATTTTAGTTAATAATATTGGTCATTAAACATATAAGCAAGCTTGGTGTCTTTTTATTGAAGAAACAGTATATAATATAAAAGTAGCTAAAATAAAAGTTATACACAAAATAATTTTCACACTTGTTTAATAACATAATAATAACATAATATAGTAACATTTTATGAAGTTGAGAAAAGCAGTTTTGATAACTCTATATGACAAAATAATTTCACTTCGTAAGCACTTTTAATCACTTCTTTGGCGTTTCTATTCACCCTTTGACATTTCTATTGGCCCCTTTTTCGTTCTACGACCCTTTTCGATTCAAATTACCCATTTTTTTACAAATATACGGTACCGATTATAATTTACTTAATTTAAACAATATTTACAATCTACACTTTATATACTCACGACTACTAACATGTTATTCACATGATTCAAAATGTTTTTTTTTTTTTATACTATTTAGAATGGAAAACAAGCTGACGACCCACTTGATGGAAATTGATAACCGTCGCCTATAGACATGAGCAGTACCATGGATATAACAGAGTATACTGTTTCGCCCATGATATTCCCCATGCGTTGCCATTCCTGAGGACTCAGGTGTTATTCCTCTGTACCCTGTAAATTATATTATAATTATATAATGTTTTCAAAATACGTTATGAAATATACATTTAAATGTTTGTTTTTTAGTTGATGCTGTCTTTAAAGATATAAATTTTTATTAAAATAATTTCTAATTAGGTATAAGTTTATTTTTGTATTTCCTTTTTTTACGTTTATAATTGTTTATGTTTTAGTTGTAATTGTTATTGATATGCGCCAAATAAATAGTTTTCCTTTTTTCAAAATATCATTTGTACCATGTAGGAAATAGTATACTAAGAAAATCCTTTTTTCTTTTTTGAAAAATTTTCTACACTTTTTTCAATATACCTCGTGAGTTCTATTGTTGTTTAGATAACTACTCTTAACCGGCGAGCTTGTACGAGTAGATTGATAAATGTGAAGGAAACGACATGTATATTTGACTCCATAGAAAGAGAACGAAAAGATAATATCGTTAATCTATGTGTGTATCTGATCATTTAGTATTTCATAATTTCTGTCTATCCCAGTGGGAGACAGGTGTGACGTACATATACGTAGGATTTACTATGATTATCTTTAGTGTTGCCCAAAAGTGTGTATAAATCTGCATCTAATTATCCTTCTAATTATTAATGTGATTTTTTTTAAAGATGTTTGTGTTTGACTCTCACACATTTAATCAGCTGAAGAGATTTTAATGAAATTTGGTATATGGGTAGATTATATCTTAATTCGTGGAATATATTACATATTGATTTACGTGAATAAAGCCATAAAAAACAGTAATTGAATAAGTTCTTTGGACATGTTTTTTTAATACAACATCATTTTGATAAATCATTAAGAGTCAATGTTAGACCCATTATAATCATGTCCAATTAATAACATATACAAACTCTAGATCCTAGAAAAATAAAATCAAGGATTATTGTAGATATACCAAGCCTATTTTGCAGTTAGTTTTATTGTTACAAATTTATAAGGAATTAATAATTAAATTAGTACTAGTACATTTGTTAAAATAAAATACAAACTATATAATATTATAGAATTTAATTACGGTACATACAAACATTTTGTAATGTTGGAGTATAATAATCAAACTAATAAGCACTTTTGAGTAGCTAGTGAAAATTTTGTGGTTAAGTAGCATTTTACTTGTCCATATTATAAGAATAGTAAAAGAGAGGAGTCTTGATGCTTTATTTACAGTCTAATGAGCACACCTATATTACCATTAGATAACTTCATGATAATAAGTAAACTAATACTGCTTTTGTGCTTTATTATGAATGTTGAAATGTTAAGAATTGAAAGCTACAGTCGATATAAAAACATTGGGTTTTCTTAAATTAACTCCTCTCACTTTTTGAAAGTATTAATTGAAATTATACTAAATTGCTTATTCGATGATAATTTTTTTTTTTTTTTTTTGTGAATAAATTGACAGAAACATTCCATAACTATTATTTACTACAATAAAGGAAATCACACTGATATTTCGAAAGCCAACAAAACAAACATAAGCATTCACTAATAAGTGTTAGTGAAAAACAACGAGGAAATGTCCAGTTAATTTTTACGCGGTCACCAGTCAGACCGATGACGGCTGCGGCGCGTCTGCGTCTCCATATGTACACCGGATAATCACTAACAACATCGACGGCCACAATCCTTACCCCTCAAAGTGCAATTACGGCCGGATTCCCCGGAACTGGAATCGCGGCTTCCTCGGATAAATAATATTACATAAACTACCGTAATATCTAACGAGTAAACATAAATAGTTTCATCTACCGACGTCTATACACGACGGAGCGGGCTCGCTCGGTCACTGGAGATTGTCACGCGGCGGGTGCGGGGGGCGCGCGCTCCTACCTGCCCTCGGGCAGCTGCCGCGCCGCCGCGTGCGCGCGCGCCGCCGCCTCCTGCGCACCACGGCCACCGTTACAACTTTACATTCGTCAAACGTCTTATGTAACCATAGTCATTACAACTAACTGCTTCGTGTACAAACCTTGGTGCGAGGCTGCGGCTTGGCGCGCGGCACGGAAGCGGGCGCGGCGGGCGCGGCGGGGGGCGCGGGGGTGTTGGGTGTCGCGGGGGTGGCGGCGGGCGGCGCGGGCGCGGGCGCGGGCGGCGCGGCGCGGGGCGCGGGCGGCGGCTGCGCGGGCGGCGGCCGGCCCAGCGACGCCAGCATGAGCCCGCGCAGGAGCGCCGCGCGCGACTCTGCTTCCGCGCTGGCGCTGCCGTTTGTTACTCCTATGAACAATACATGTGTATACGTATATTTACATGTTTATACTTTAATACAATGATAAAAAAAATAATCAATCATCATCTCCATTTTAAGCGTGATCAGATCAGATTGGATAATATTTTCTTCCGAGTACTATAGCGTTTTATATTATCACCAGCGAGACAAGTACTTCATTTACTGCATTTGACTTATAGCAAGGCCACAGATGTCACAAAAAATTGCTGACAATGAAATCATGTCGCTATCACATTATGCATTATTTGTACTATAGTTATTCAGTTTTGTTACTTTAATAAGATCATAGATAAAAAACTGACTTGACTGCAATCTGTACACACCCTGAAATCCAGCAGCGGGCAGGAACGGCAGCAGGAACTGCGTGTCAGCGGCGTCGGCTTGCGGCGGCGACTGGTGCGCGGCGGGCTGCGGCTGCGGCGCGGGCGCGGGCGCGGAGGAGCCGCCGCCCGGCGCGCCGCCGCCGCCCGCGCCCGCCGCGCCGCTCGACGCCGCCGCCGCCGCGCGCCTGGGTAGTCGCTCCAGTTGCTGTCGGGCCGCCTGCACGGCCACACGAAAGGGATTGTAGATAACAAATATAGTATAACATGTTCATGTGGTGACAGACTGACAAGATGTTTATTTTGTTCTAAATTTACGTTATTATATTTTTCCTTTCACAATCTATATAGTTCAAAATCTAGGGTCAGTAATGATGACATTGAAGGAACTAGTGCCTTTGTTTATGGTTTATAAGGGATGAGACTTAACACGATCGTTTATGTAAAATAAGCTAATAATTTTAATTTTACCTATACCTTTTCTGTCAGGTCGACCTCTGTGCGATCCTCATTAGAAACCATTGCATTGAATTTGTTACAATGTGAGCCATGATACTAACCTGACTTAGTCTTTGCCTATCACTGATTTCCTAAACTGTCAGTGTAAATTAATAGCACCAACAGAATTGCAAAAGTCTGTACTTGGATATTATTATTTGTTATTACTGTGAATGTGAATGTGAAAAAGACTCTTATTTTCCGCGCTTAGCCTCTCATTTGGGCCGTTGTGCGTATGAATCGTGGCTAGTACAGCCAACCTAGCTCCGCCCAGAAGCGCAGAAGCTTCCTGGGTTCTTCACAGGCTTCACAGAGCGACCTCACCGTTCTGAGGATTTCTAAACGTTGATTGGCCACAGCCTCACATCCCAGGATTACGTGAGCAGCCGTTTCTTCGGCGTCGAAACAGCCTCGACATAGAGGGCTGTCTGTGGCTCCTATTGTATTTGTTATTACTATGCTTGTTGAATTATATTCAAAGTGTTCATAAGTTTGCATTATTTTTATTATTTTTTACTTGAATTGCCACTTATGGAAACAATAAAAAAAATTGTTATGCGAAAAAGTTAGTACGAGTGAGACATTTAATGTGGGAAGAACATAGGAGTCCATTGTCTATGAGAAAATATCCCTTAGTTTTAAGGTATTGATATAGACAGAGGATTTTTTTTTCCATATTTATATGATGTTGATTGCCATTAAGAGAAACATTTACAACGATTTTACTAAATGAGGTGTTGTTATCTTGCAAAAGTTCATAATACTGTTTTTTTTTTTATTAGAATTATTTTGTTTAATTCCATATGTGAGTGCCTGTCAACACATGAAAACTGACTATAGAAGTTCCACAACCTTTCATATTAGCCATTTTGTTCATGCCCGTTTTGCAACACATGTTTCACATGTAAACAAGGCATTTTCAGGCAAATTATTAGATAGCTGCTTGGAGTCTAGTGGCAACTGTTAAACACAGTTTGAGCGCTGAGATTGGTGCAGATTGATGGCTAATATGGATTGATAATAGAACTTCTGGTAGTAATAGTCGTGGTCAATCTTCGAGTGTTGGCAGTCACACACATACTAAAGATAGCAGAGTTGAATAAAAAATTTGTGTATTACCATTTAAAATGTTCGTTTATGAAAAATTATAGATAATTGCGATGTTGCCATTCTTCGCATTAATGCTCTTAGTGTGGTGTACATACGGTGGCCTGTTGTCGTTCGAGCTGGAGCTGTATCTGCAGTTGCTGCAGCTGGCTGGGCGTGCCGGGCTGGCCGGGCCCGCGCCGCACGCCCGACAGCTGCGACAACAGCTCAGCGATCGGGTCCACCACCGCATCGCGCGACGACGGCGACAGCGACGATATCCCGCCCGACGTACTGTCGATAAGCGATCGAAACAATCTGTTACCAAATGGTATGTCTGTATCGACCGCGTGTTAGCGTTCCGAGTTAGTTTACATCTCGACTAAGTTAGTACATAGACTTGGGGTGCAACGGTGTATGTAAACAGTGGAACAGTCTAGAATTAATAAGCGCCCATTATTTTAGAAGTATTTAATGTTAAATAACTCAAAAGTAGTGAAAATATTACAAATTAAAGTGTTTTGAAGACATCTGTCAGTTAGTTCGTTTTTCATAAAGTCAAAAATAATATTGTATTAGTAACCTGCTCAATATTAGTTTTTATTAACCTATATTATTATACATATATCGTTGTGAATATTGTATATCTATCTATCTATATTATCATTAATATATTGATTCAAAAAAAAAAATTCAAGAAACTTGGTACAAAATAATGGTGGTATCTAAAAAGGTGTACAAAGGAACAGCTACCAAGGCTGTTTGGGATGCTGCAGATGTTATATATCAAATGCTTTAGTGATATGCCCAATACCTTACAAATAAACTTCAGATATGGTACATTAAAAATGTTTTACAGTGTTTCTGGTATATAAGAAAGCCATTGTAATATCAGATATAAAATAACTTCAGTCCTTGGGAACGTCATGTATAAGTATCATAGAACAAGAATAATTTTTAAATAGTTTCGAATAGTCATTTTTTTAAGATTATGCTTCCCAATCGGAATACAATTTCAGCTAAGAAATTATAAATTCGTGTCAATATAGACTACTAGCTAACTAACCTGAATTCTAAAGTGCTAAAGTTGGCGTAAATAACACAAATTATGTGTAGTTTATTGTAGTTGTAGTAGCAGTATGAGCCACTATAAATCCTTAATTATTATAAAGATAATCCTTAATGTACATAATATAATGTTACGTTATATAAATTTACTTAAAGAGTTGGTGCTATGAACGTAATTGAATTTGTTGTTATATGAAGTGGGGTTTATTACCTGAAGTGCATATTGGTACGGCGAGCGCGACTGACTCCGCGACCTGAGTGCGGCATACGACGCACACCGCCATGTCGGATGCCACTTGGCTCGTCGTGTATAGTAGTTAAGGAGATTTCAGATATAACACACAGGATATGATTTATAATTTTTTTTTTATTGTATTATATAAAAATTTTTTTTATACAACTTGGAATAGCAAACAAGACATGAGCAGTACCATGGACATAACAGAGTATACTGTTTCACCCATGATACCCCCATGCGTTGCCATTCCTGAGGACTCAGGTGTTATTCCTCTGTACCCCGTAAATTCAATGCCATATCCCACCCTTCAAACTGAAACACAGCTATGCAAACACAACTGCTTCACAGTAGAAACACGAATGGGACAGAGGTACCCAAACAAACAACTTTTGTACAAAATCTCCCTCTGTTAAAGGTAAATAAGCATTACATTATTTAACATAGGATGTGTAAAATAATGTAATAATTATTGTATATCATATTTTTCAGTAAAAAACTACATACATATATACTGGATAGGAATATATAGGATTTACATTCGCCAAGCAATACATTATTTAACAAATTTTTATATAGACCATCATAAAATAGTCATACTACAGACTGTTATTTAAAAGGATATCAGAAAAGAGATGAGATCTCTGGGACCAGTTCGGTGCTCGAGAGTGAGATGTCCAGCGAAATCATCAGTTACAAAATTTGGTTCCCCACCAGGCATTGATGCGCAAACAGGACAGACAACCTGTAAGCAATATTAATTCAGTACTTTTATGGCATTATAATTATATTATTCCATACACTTTTTGTTACAACTATGAAAGAAAACATATCACAAGTGTAAATATTTAATTTAAAATTAGTTCAGTTCTCCTAAATTAATGTTTATCAAAAAAAAATTAAAATTTATTACTTTATGCTATTAGATAATAACAATAATATAGCCCATGTTTTTTCATTGATCAATCCTATTTCTTACCTTGTTGCTTTATAACAGACCAGCCAAATATAAATTTTGATAACTCTAAATTAAAAAGTATCCATTTAACAATTTTTTCTCACTACTTTACATCTTGAGGATGTAATTATTCTATAAATTCTTTCTGATATTTCCACAACCATCTCAATTTTACTTTTAAGGGGATTTTGATGAATGCTGACAAGTCAGTTAATTATTTCATTATCACTTTTTAATAATAAAATACAGATTGTGGGATTGTAGATTACAGGTGTCTAGTAAACTCACTGCTAGTGTGGTGTCAGCATGCTCTGCAGTGACATGTTCCATAAGGGCTGTGTCTGTGAATCCCATTCGGTTACAATATGGGCAAGTATATGCTTGTGGTTGCTCAAGGGCCAGGGCTTCCCCACCATAGTACAAATCTGTAAATATCAATCAACCAATCAAAATCATTTTATTTATGTAGGGTTCTTAGACCTATCATAAAGGGCATACAGACTCTTATGATATGTCTAGTATAAATTGTTTTTAACAATCAACAGAGACAAGATTGTTAGATTGTGAATATATATTCATATCCCAGGTGCAGTCTAATTAAAATTTTATTGATTAGCCCCAATATTGTCTCACACAATAAAACTCAGATATACATAATAATATATATGTTTTATTATTCATCAACATAATCATTTCAGCCATTATCCATATACTGCTGGACATAAGCCTCTGCCATTTTATTATTATAAAAGTAATTTTATATTTTTGTGAAATATATAGGTAAAATGTTTACGTCAGAACTAAAGTAGGAAACAAATTGCTTTGTTCTATAATTGTTTCTGTAAAAGTGAAAAAATACTATGGAAAAGTTACGTTGTACTGGGTTTAAATATTAGATAACATTAAAAACTATATTTAAATATGAATTCAGCATCTATAGTTTCAAGTAGCCATATCTATATATATATATATATATATATATGCTAAACATTAAGACACTAGTTAAATTTTACTAATGAAAACCTACAATAATCAATCAATTAAAAAAGGTTTCTTACCAAAGTCACTTCTGGAAAGAATACACTGCATAGGATGTTCTGTTGTATGTTGATTGGTAGTGGCACCAGATTCATAGCATGCAGCGCACAAGTCGTAGTCGATGCATATTAAACATTTGTATCGTCGTCCCCTAAAGTTGTTTTTCAAACAAGAATCACAGCTGACTCCTAGAAAGATGTCAATACAAAATACAATAACAATTCTTTATTATAAGCAATTCATAACGGCGATTGAATTAAGAAATTTAATTTTTTGCGCATGATAGATTTAAAACGATTACATCTGATGATTATTTTCACGTTTTCATATGAAATATATGATGACAAAAGCATCGAACAAATTTTGATTATCATTACCCACCGTCATGGCGATTCATTTTCGCCAGAAAATACCGTCGAAACAAATACTTATTGGCACTAGTATTACTGCTACTTTATGAGGTATTTTATATAACTAAACTAAAATAAGTAGTTCAACATATAATACACTAAAATATAAGATTTTAACAAAAATTTCCAAGCAAACCTAACCCAACCAGGCCATAATGACGTCACATAAATGTAGTAAGTGTTGTTATATAAAAAAATTTGATTCAGTATGCACTGTGTCATGTACTTATGATCTAGTAGATGGTCACAGCTAAAAATTATCATAACTTGTCAAAATACGTATCTTGTAATTAGTTAGGTATAGAATACCAAAAAATATAGTCTCTGTCTTATAAATAGTAATAGGTTTATTTATTTATTATATTATTATAATTTAACCGTATACCGAGTTTCTGCTAGCAGTAATAGTGTTGGGGGAGAAGGGATTGTCAATAATGGGAATTAGTAGCCCCACTGCTAGCAATGTACCTTGTCAAGTTGACCTCCTTGTGGTTCCCCTTAGAAACCATTATGATTGATTTATTATTAGATTCGTCACGGTGAGCTAACTAAGCTGCTTCATCTTCACCTATAATCTCTCATTGGTGCCCCGCCATTGTATACCGATACTATTATCATCTATTAAAAAATGACAGTAGTGTTGTCATAGAAAGTACAGAAAAAAATAATGGACTGCTTAGAAAGAGTAAGATTAATATTTACGGCAAATATAAATATCTATACAAAAAAAAATATCATATATATCTATGCAATAGCTTTAATTTATGTGGAGGTGAATTATTATAAATTGTCTAAGATTACTGTAGAGTAGGATTCTATCGATAGAGTTTTCGGATTACATCTTAGAATTACATCTTTTAACAACATTTTTGGTTTTGTTTATTCTAAAAGGGAAAGACAAAAGGCTCTGCCCATACAGCAGCTCATGCTTCGCAATTTTGTTCGTAAATATCCTTTCGTTCGTAAATATTCCTTCCAATATCCTTATTCGTAGATTTCACCTGACATTTGTTTGGCAGACAGACAAAGAGCTGTTATATTCTATATTTAAAAGTTGTTTGTCTTTGATTTATTTTATTCGTTGAGTTTTGGTGAGTGTTATCTATTTTGCAGTTTAACTAAATTATGATTTATGTTACAAGTCCATTATTTTAATGAATTACTATAAATTTAATTAAAAAGTATTGTAATAAAGCATTAGAAATATTTTGTTATAATTCAGCAAATTGAGTTCTGGAAATAGCTATCAGTTTCTTTGACATACGTACCTACTTTATAGTTATTTTCTGATTTCTGATTTTGCGCGGGAATAGGAACTGTGAAGCCCTATTGGAATGATATTGTACATTTTTAACAATTAAAAATGACCGACGCATTGTGCCATTTAGTTGTAGATGGAAACGAAGTTTTGGAGTTCAAATTAGGTAAGTTAAATAGATATAGCTAATTTTAATACGCTAAATGCTGTTTATTGGTGTTGATTTTTTGGTGGATGGCCAAGCGCGACAGATTGGTACACATGCCAATATAGTTTTTCCAAAAGCTTTTTAAAGGGTGTTAAATAGTATTTATATTTTTTTTCATTTTAAATATCGAAACTATGTCTATCAATATTTATAATATATTAGTCATAATGTATGTATACAGTATACATAGATTCTGACAAAGTTTTACCAGATGATACTTATTGTGATTTTTAGAATACAGATTGTTTGAAAGGGGTCAAGTCGTATCATTGTATTATATTATATTGATTAATTGAATTGTGATGTAGAAATAAATTATCTATATTATAATATATAGTTAAAAGTTATCTCACTTTACATAGTTGACATATTTTTAATATTTTTTATTTGTAATAGTAATAAGACTGAATAAAAACCAGTGTGGAAGGCAACTTTCTTAACCTTATATAATTGAAATTGGCCTTAAAAATAATGATGATGTATAATATGTTTGAGTTTAATATTTTATATCTTGTGTGCCACTAAATGAGATAATTTTGAAAAATAAAAACTTGCTAGCCATATATCTTAACAGATCAACTTCCTCATGTTTCACCTACCATTTCTCATTGGTGCCGTACCACCATATACTGTTAGAGCAGGCATGGTTACTTTCCATTTTCATCTTTTGAAAAAATGTTCAAATAATTCAAAATACATAAAAATCAGGTCTATAAAACTTATATTAATACACACACATTCATAATTTTAATAATGGTATTTTTTTATACAATATGTTGTCTCTTGCATGTTTAATATATATTTTGTTGCAGTGAAATGTGTAGCAGATATAGAAAATGATGATACCAGTTTTGGCCCAGAAATGTGTCATCAAGTGTTTGGAGAAAATGAGAACATATTTGGCTATACAGATCTGCATATTAGACTATATTACAGTGCAGGAAGCCTTCAAACATATCTTGGTATTGAATATACAGATAAGGTATAAATTTGTTGTCTTTTTTTTAATATTATATTGAGTGCTTGGTATTCAAGTGTTTGTAATCAGATTACTAGAGCTGTTTAACTGATGGAGTATAGTAGTTTCTATAACAATATATGGAAATGTTGGCTTTTGCTGCTTTGTTTATAAATATATAGTTAGATATTATAAAATTATTTTACATAGTAAATGTAAATATACATATTTTTGTCAGATAATAAATATCAGAAATGTAAAGTAAGCAATGTAGTAAGTTTTATTTTGTGAGATCTTTTAGTTTTTATACTTCAAAATTTTTATTATAGATTGAACCAAGTAAGTCCGATGGGATGAGAGCAGATGACGTAGAAGGAGCATTAAAAAAAGTCCTGGCACCAGGATATGTAACAAATTTGGACCATTTTATTTCTTTGTTAGATAAAGACAAGTCATTTACACCACATGGTCAGCTTTTACATGCTTTTACAGTGACACCTAGTAAGTTTAAATCCCTAATTGTCATTATAGCTTCAATAGTTTCTTATCTTTATGATAATATTTTAGAATAAATAATAATTTTAAATTCTAGATGATGGTGGAAATAAAAGAACCTTTGAAGTGTACTTTTGTGAAACATCGACACCAGGTTTTCTTGCTTTCCATGAACGATTACAGACTTTTCTTCTCTGGTATGTGGATGCAGCATCTTTTATTGATGTAGATGACGATCAATGGAATTTTTTCATTGTGTAAGTAGATATTTTTTTTTATTAAATATATCGTTTAATGTTATATTTATAAACCTTCTGTATTAGAAACTAGTTTTTCCTGTGACTCCACATGTGGAAATAATAAAACATACCAGATGTAATTTGGATTCATTTTGGTATAGTAGTGTTTGTGTGATGCTGGAACAAATGCAAACAGGCGGAAATAAAAAAAAATTGTTTTAGCTACTATTGCACATCTTAATCTTTTTTTTGTTAAATATAAATTTTTAGTCATATATCAATAATTCTATGTCAGTGTTTTATAGAACCACTTTTATTTTAATAAAATTTTATGGAAAAAGTTATTATTATGTGGGGTATTAAGATATAATCTGTCATTATGTGTAATAGAACATAGTTCACAATAAAGTCGAATTAATTTGTGCTGTTCTTCATTTCATTGATAATATAGATAGTTACAATTTCATTTATGTATGTATATTAACATAAATCAATGAGATGTGATGTCATTATGTGCAAACAATGACGACCTCTGTGTTAGTCACGACCTCTTAGTTTGGGGACCAGGTCATTGGTAATGTCATTTGGCATGTTATGAATTTACAATAATTTAAGATTGTGCCCCACAAAAATGGTTAATTTGATTTAAAAACTAAATTGGGTACTGAACCGATTTTAATAAAATTTTTATGGGACCAGTCTCAAATCAAATAAAAAATCCATATTGCTTTAGAACTGATGGAGGTAGGATATACAAACATAAAAAATGCAACGAATTGAGAACTGTTTTTTTAAATTCAGTTGAAAGTAAAATCTATAGACAATATATTATTAAAAAGTACTGCCCAACAAGTTGTTTATTTCTATTGTAGATTTGAGAAGTACGCCACTAGCGAAGGTGAGTGGCGGTATGCTACGGCGGGTTACGCGACAGTATACCGGTACTATGCTTATCCGCACCACGCGCGCCCGCGCATATCACAGGTGCTCACACTACCGCCCTTCCGCAAGCTCGGCCTCTGCGCGCAGCTCTTGCAGGTGCTCCTTAAGATTATGTTTCACGAAAATAGTAAAGTATTAATACTATCTTTCGATATAGGAATAAAAAAAAGAATCTTCATGATTGACTAACTAATATTTTATTATGTAACTTTAAATGGTAAACAAGCTGAACACCCACTTGATGGAAAATAGTAACCGTCATCTATAGACATGAACAGTACCATGGATATAATAAAGTATACTGTTTCACCCATGATACTCCCCCATGTGTTGCCATTCCTGAGGACTACGATATTATGTCTCTGTACCCTGTAAATTCACTGCCATATTGCACCCTTCAAATTGAAATACAGCTATGCAAACACAACTGCTTCATGGTAGAAACACAAATGGGACAGAGGTACTCAAGCGAATGATTTTTGTACAAATTCTCACTATGGTTCTTACATTTTTTTTTTTTATTTACTGTGTTGTGACAAACATGTACATACAATTATATTAAATAATAAATTAATTTTAGAAATAGTTTTAGAGAATTAGCGCTTCAGAATCAATTCCATCATTGTAGCTAAATTTGTGTAGGGACCAATTCAGCTGCTTTAACAGCATGTGGACATTATTACATTAAATTATAACATTAAGTATTTGTAGAATAATAATAATACATTAATAATTTATGGTGAAAAAATTTTACTTATGACTTCAAATAAGTCCCTTTTTGTAATTAATCTAATTATATAAGTAATCTAATTTTATATATCATAGTAAATGTAAATATTTTTATTTTTAGGCAATATACTCCCATTTTACTATTTTACCTGACGTTGTGGACATCACTGTGGAGGATCCATCTCAGGATTTCCAAAGGATTAGGGATTACGTTGATGCCAAAAACTGTGAAAATCTACCAGCTTTTCAACCGGATAAACTATTTCAAGGGTAAATTAATAAATACTAGTACTTTTCCATGATCTTACTCACATGTATATTGTATATTTTAAATTAGGACAATCTGGGTATCTTGAATTACATTTGGTATATGGGTATGTATTTATTTCATTCAATTCCATTCAGGCATTTAAGTGTGATCGAGTAACTAACATAAAAACATCTTTACAAGTGTCATACAATCACACATAGTCATGTATTAGTATTTTAGAAATTTCTTTATTGGTCATTAAAAAATATTTTATAAATTTCAGTTTTTCACCTGAAATGGCGAATCAAGCATGTTTAAAATTCAAGATAAACAAGAAACAGGCGCGGAGGGTTTACGAGATATTGCGACTTAAGAATACAAACACATCGGACAAGACTGCTTATTTGAATTATAGACTAGTTGTTAAGAATAGACTTAATGCTCCTTTTCAGGTAAGTGTGGTCAATTATAAAGATTCTAAGGCATATAACATGGGGATGTGATTCATTACCTTTTTCTTACTTCAATATTGAATGTTGTCAGTATTAATCCAATAGACTTGATAGAAATGATTGAATGAATTGGGGAAGTACCACACCCTCACAGAATACCGACGCTAAGTGGTTGCACTTTTAGTGCGATCACATTCCGTATGGTGAGTGAGGGAGTCCGAGGCCCATCCCATACCCATCCCTTTCCTATTCCTAAAATCCTTTCCCCAACCCCGTCCCCCTATCTTACAACACGCAACCATGGCAGTGGAATTAAAAAAAAATAACATACCCCAGGGAGGTACCAGTAACCATGTTGCTGGAGAATCCTCCCTCGAGCAACCACGCTCGGGCTGCCCTGCGTATTCTGGGGGGGCAAAATTCCGCTCTTTGGAACCAAGGGCAAACGGAGCAAGATTTCTACGGCATCCCCTTCGCTCAATGTGAGCTTCTGCAACATCAGGGGATTACATTCTAACTTAAACGCTGTCCACCATCACCTAGAAACGGCGCGGCCGGCATTGCTCTTTCTAACGGAGACACAGATATCCTCTCCAAACGAAACTTCATACCTGACGTACCCGGGCTATAAACTTGAACATTGTTTTGTTTCGCGTGCCGGTGTATGCGCGTATGTCAGAGAGGATATCTGTTGTCGCCGCCTTGGAACTCTTGAAGGAACGGACCTGTCTATTTTGTGGCTGCGTGTAGACTGCAATGACCATCCTCGCGTCTATGCATGCCTATACAGGTCCCACAGCGGTAACATCGAAACCGACCAACTCATTGAGCACGTCCAAATGGCTACAGATTCCCTGCTCGAACAGATTCCTTCCGCTGAAGTCGTGATTCTTGGCGATTTTAATGCCCACCATACCGAATGGCTTGGTTCACGTACAACCGACTATGCGGGAAGATCTGTTCATGACTTTGCTTTGGCTTATGGTCTGACGCAGCTTGTTTCCTCGCCCACGCGAATACCTGATGTGTTGGACCATCCACCTTCACTGCTGGACCTTCTGCTGACCACCCACCCAGACAACTATGTGATTTCCGTCGAAGCTCCGCTTGGATCGTCGGATCACTGTCTGGTGCGGAGTGAGGTGCCTCTCATAAGTCCGATTCCACCACGTTCTACGGGTAGACGTCGTGTTTGGCACTACAGGTCGGCAGATTGGGATGAGATGCGGATTTTTTCGCATCTTACCCATGGAGGCAGGTTTGCTTCGCACTGGGGGATCCCAACGCCATCGCCAATTCCATCGCCGATGTGGTGCTTCAGGGAATGGAATTATTTATTCCTAACTCTGTGGTACCTGTCGGTGGGAAATCCCAGCCCTGGTATGGAGCCTCTTGTAGAATAGCATCTCGCCTGAAACAGGAGTGCTTCCTAGCCTGGGCCAAAGGTGTGGCATCGCGAGATCCTAACATCAGTGCCCTTAAAAAGAAGTATAACTTTGCCTCTAGGTCCTTCAAAAGAGTTTTGGCCACAGCGAAGTCAAAGCATATTGGTAGAATTGGCAAGAGATTGGCTAGTTTACCTTCGGGATCTCGAGCTTTCTGGTCTCTTGCCAAAGCTGCACAAGGGAATTTCTGTCAGTCATCTTTTCCACCGTTGCGCAGGGAGGATAACTCGTTGGCTCTGAACGCCAAAGAGAAGGCCGATCTCCTTGGATCTCTCTTTGCATCAAACTCGACATTGGATGACGGGGAGAAACTACCGCCGACCATCCCGCGTTGTAGGAGCTCTATGCCGGATGTTAAATTCACGCAAAGATCAGTGCGTAGAGCACTTCTCTCCCTTGAAATCCATAAGTCGAGCGGGCCCGATGGCATTCCTCCAATTGTGCTAAGGACGTGCGCACCAGAGTTGGCTCCGGTTCTTACGCGTCTTTTTCGGCTCTGTTACTCATCAGGTATAGTCCCAAAGTTTTGGAAGACTGCTTTGGTGCATCCGATCCCTAAAAAAGGAGACCGCTCAGATCCAGCTAACTATAGGCCCATAGCTATCACTTCCTTATTCTCGAAAGTCATGGAATCAGTTATTAACCATCAACTGCTCCGGTACCTAGAGGATCGCCAGCTGATCTCAGACCGCCAGTACGGCTTTCGACGGGGACGCTCGGCTGGTGATCTTTTAGTTTATTTAACACACCGATGGGCAGTGGAAATCGAGAATAAGGGAGAGGCCTTAGCTGTTAGTCTGGATATTGCGAAAGCCTTTGATCGGGTGTGGCATAGGGCACTAATCTCAAAACTACCTTCGTTTGGGTTGCCTGCGAGATTGTGCAGTTGGGTCGCCAGCTTTCTTAAGGAACGTAGCATTAAGGTCGTAGTCGACGGAGCATGCTCTGACTTAAAACCTGTGAATGCTGGTGTCCCGCAAGGCTGTGTACTATCTCCAACACTGTTTCTTCTGCATATCAATGATATGTTACAGATCAGTGATATTCATTGTTATGCGGACGACAGTACAGGAGATGCATTATACACCGGTCATGCAAAGATCTCGCGGGCACATACCGATGAGCTCCGGAACAGACTTGTGTCTGAAATCGAAACTTCACTCGATAAAGTTTCGATCTGGGGTGAACGCAATCTTGTTCACTTTAACCCTAAGAAGACACAAGTCTGCGCGTTCACCGCAAAAAAGACACCGTTTGTCGTATCACCTCACTTTCAGGGCACTTCCCTTGATAATAAGTCGAGTCTGGGGATTCTTGGCGTCGATATATCTAGCGACGTCCAGTTTTGCGGTCATCTGGAGGAAAAAGCTAAGATAGCTTCCAAAAAGTTGGGAGTGCTCAATAGGGTGAGACGGTATTTCACGCCAGAAAACCGCCTGAAACTGTATAAAGCTCAAGTGAGGCCACACATGGAATACTGTTCTCACCTGTGGGCAGGAGCGCCACAGTACCAACTCCTTCCGTTAGACCGCATTCAAAGTCGGGCAGCTCGAATTGTTGACGGTCGGCGTCTTACTGTCCGGCTCGACCCACTGAAACTGCGTAGAGATGTTGCATCTCTGTGCATCTTCTACCGAATTTATCATGGGGAGTGTTCTGAAGAATTGTTCGGATTGATACCTGCTGCAAATTTTCACCATCGTACAACCCGCCATAAACTAAAATTTCATCCCAACCATCTGGACGAGTGGCGGTCCTCCACCGTGCGTTTTTCAAGGCACTTTCTTCCTCGCACAACCACTCTTTGGAATCAACTTCCAGCAGCAGTATTTCCGAACCGATACGACAACATAACCTTCAAGAAAAGAGCATATTCCTTTTTAAAAGGCCGGCAGCACACCTGCAATGCCGTAGGTGTTGTGGGTGACCATGGGCGGCGGTAGTCACTTACCATCAGGTGAGCCGCATGCTCGTTTGCCCCCTGTGTTGTAAAAAAAAAAAAAAAAAAAAATGAATAACTGAGCTGAATTTGTAATATGGTATCTTTTTGAATGTATTTGATTTTCATAATATGGGTCCTAATTTCATTTTTTAGATAACTATTGGATTAAGTGGGGTGTTTGAGTTTCTGCCCAAAATATTTATTGTTAAATTTTTTGAATTTATCCAATTTTATCTATCTTAACCAATTACTGTTATTTTTTCGTACTTTGTAGTACTATTATTTGATTGCAATTTGCAGAAAAAGAAGTTAGAAATGAAAAAGCTTCAAAAAGTGTTATCTCCAGAAGAGTATGCAGCTACCATAAGTACGGCAGGTGTCAGTGAGACGCAAGGCCGTCTAGCCAGTCAATATATAGCGCTTGAGGACGAATACCGTCGCGTCATACATCGGATGGAGCAGATTTGATTGCGTCTCCTTGATTTCAATTTGTTCACAAAATTTATAATAAAATATGTTATAAATTGCAACTTTGTAATTATTACACATTGCAGTCAAAATTTTTAAAGAATCTTGAAAATGAATCGATCACATTCTATAAATTTTCATGTCTATTTTCTTATGTTTTATTTCAAATAATAATATGAAATGCGAATGGTGGCAACAGCATTAGCATGTAAAGATTTACTCTATAAACAAAAGATGTTCTATATGTTTTCAAAAGTAATTGTATTGCAATGTTGTTGGTAAATAATTAATCGAAGAAATTATAAATATCTCAGTCAATGAATGTTTACGGCATAGCTCTGAAAATTCTCTAAATTTTGAATAATAGTTTTTGTCAACACAGTCAAATAGAACGAAATATTTTTGAAATAAATTCGGTTTTCAATTTAACAATGTGGTTTTATTTGATAATAGTTTCAGAATCACGTGTTTCTAACAACATTATGAGTAGCCAAAAATAATAATCATCATAATATCAGCCTATAACTGTCCACTGCTGAAGATAAGTCCGGTTGCCAGTAATTGTTGGCAGGCGATTAGCAACCGCTTTAGAGATGTTTCAAGAGGAACGCTGCTGTTCAACCCTCGTCCTCCCTTAGTCACCTCTTACAACTCCTACGGGAAAGGAAGGGGTAGATAGGTATTCTGTACCGGGACCACAGGGCATAAAATAATATTGTTTTATAAACCAGCCACGAAATTATATCTTGGTGTGCTTTAGACTGGTATTTTTTGTGGTCCTTTCAAATACTGAAGGGGAAAAGAAACTGCAGAATTAAGGAAATTATTGTATTTATATATATACACATTATTTTAATGACTCTGGAATGAATTCTTGAATTCTGGTTCTTATTTTATTCCGGGGTCAATGAGAACGCGACGTATTATCCGCTATGTAATATGTTTCACCAAACCATTCACTATGTTCATCTAGGTATCTGCAAAAAGAAGGGAAATATAAGTTTAGAATGATAGATTTTGATATGATTGTCAGACAACAATAATAAAGGAATGTACTTACTGAACAAACATATCAATGTGTTTCAGAATTAACTTTAACTTGAAGTCTGGCATCTGCGTTGCATTCAAGAAGTCCGGTAATTTTACTATAAATATAAAAATCGCTATTAGCCAAAACGTACTTATGTTTGAACTATTACGTATTATACATACCTACAGTGGTATCTAACTGTGAAATTCGTAAAGATGAAGTAATTTTAGTCAGACAAAAAAATCTAAACAATCGTTATGGTTTCTATTGTTCTTGTTACGACGTTTCTAATATAATAAAAGAAATAAATTAATATTCTTATTACCAAAAAGCCGAGCGAGGTGTATTGCGCCGTAAACTCGACACGGGAGATGCTCGGTTCCTTCACGGGGTATTATCTGCCATTTCGCTACCTAAATGAATGATTAATATGTATAATTTTTGGAAAACATTATTATTATAGGACTAGATTATTCAATATAGTCAGTTCTTTTTTTTCAAACCTAAAAAAAAAGTTTTTTTATTTTTTCATGTTTGTTACCTCATAACTCCGTCAGTTCTAAACCGATTTGGAAAATTCTTTATCTGAAAGGATATATTTACACATTGGTCCCAAAGAATTTTTATTAAAACTAGACATTCAGTTTTTGAATTATTATTTTAATTGATTGATATCACCATAATTGAAGTCGGTTATTGTTGTGGAACCACAATTTAATTATTTAACACATAATTAACTTTTTGTTTTTAATCCCTAGTATAATACTGATATATTAAAATAAATTGTGGATTAAGTTGCAACTATTCAATAAATAATAATTATAGTATTTTCTTACTTTTTGTGGCAACCGAATATGCATTCGGCCTGATGGCAGTGACCACAGCAGACTATAAATGCTTGCAACCCTTGTAACAATCCTTACTAATATTATAGAAAGGAGGGAAGGTAATTGTTAATAATGAGGTCTTGCAGCCTCATTAGCAATATCAATTAGGTTGATCTCCATACCATTTCTCCTGGAATCCATCGTGGTTAATTCTATGGAATTTGTCACGATGGGCCTGTGGTCAGATCTGGTAGGTAGGTATCTGACCACAAACTGGTGCCTCACCAGTGTACACCGATAACCCGCATGGGGTTACCATTCCATTTATACCCATAAAAAATAATAAACATGAAACAGAAGGTTTGTTTGTTGCCTTCTAGCTCCTTAATTACTTAACTAATCACTATGAAATTTGATATACACATAGGTACTATATGGGATGGAGGATATAGGCTATTTTTTATCTCGGTCAGTAAACATATCGCGGTCACGTGGACGAATGTTAGACAAGCATTTGTAGGAAGATCTCTAAACATATATTAAACAGCTGTCTATCGCAAGTTTAACTTTTTGTGGCTCCAAGATGCCCCACTGCGTTGTTCTCCTCCTTAATACGGCTATGCCTATATCCAGATATGAAATGTTAAAAGGAGTAACGGTTAAACACTATGCCTTATTTTGGTTGCGAATTTAGTTTTCATATAAGGCAAATATTTGTTTTCATGGTTGGCCGTGCACACTCCAGGATGCTCTTAATTATACACATTACACGGTATTATTTAATAATATGTAACGGTATTAGTATTATGGTACCTTATCAAGTAGTAGCGAGAGAGGTGTCCGCGTGGTAGGGGGCACGGCCGGTGTAGCCTGCGTCGGGCGGGACCAGCTCTCGCTCATCGACGAACCGCTGCTGCCCACGCTGCGATAACACGACACACCACATAAATCAACGTAGCTCTACAATACTATTATAATCTATTCAACTAATTTTTGTTTGTCCTCTCTCATTTTACTTTTAATGCATGGAAAATATCAGATTTAGTGGAAAGAAAGCAAATATATACACATAAATTATTAAAAAAAGGAAAGAGAGAGGAGACAAAAAAATTCAAAAAGAAAGAACTAGAACATCAGAATTCGTTAGCAAAAAAGGAGATACAACGACGAATATTTTCAATTTACTTGTACACAGTGTACTATTCAGCATTATTTACTGATTTTGAAATATTTATGTATTACCTGGAGGAAAGTGTTTCAAAAGTGCGTGGTTCACCCGTAGAAGTGGAAGGGGCTGGCTCTTCGTTTTCTGACTGTGACACCGCTGACTTATAAGAGCGTAGTCTAAACAACGATAATGTATATTTAGAAATCTGGCTCCTGATGCAAGTTCATAGTATGTTACTTTTCCGACTTATATATACATCGTAAGTACATTCTACCATGTTGTACCGTTTGTATCTACCGTGAAGCAGTTGTGTTTGCATGGCTGTGTTTCGATTTGAAGGGTGGGATATGGCGTGAATTTACTGGGTACAGAGGAATAACACCTGAGTTCTCAGGAATGGCAACGCATGGGGGTATCATGGGCGAAACAGTATTCTCTGTTATGTCCATGGTACTGCTCATGTCTATAGGCGACGGTTACTTATTTCCATCAGGTGGGCCGTCAGCTTGATTGCAATTCTAAGTTGTATAAAAAAATACATATGCGTAGAGTGATAATTGGATATGTCTATTTATTTTAGTATTGTGGCCTAGTGGTATATTATTCAATTTTTAGACCTCTAAGATCATGAAGTCGAGACCGGCGAGTCGAAATTTATAATAATTTAACTTTTGTCGTAATGGCAAGAGTCGACAAATGCATTTGAATACAAAGTCTAAGGTCGTGCTCGTAATAATTTTTTTTTTACAAGATAGATAAATAATTATAAAAAATATATGAAGGTTCGACTTACCTCCTAGCGACGTTTCCGCTTCGCGTCACAGAGCGACCCTCGCGGCTTTTCGCCGATGCCCACGTATTATTCTGATTGTCTTCACTAGTTGAATCATTTCTAGTGGATAATTTATCGTTTGCTTCTATTTTCGGCGATTCTTCATAACTATTCGTTTGTGGTAAACCTAAAATACACTTGGCGTTGTAATTATAGTCGTTATGAAAATTTTACTCATATTTTCTGAACGGTTTGGAATTTTTATACGAGTATGTGGAAAGAGAAGGATTCATGCTCCATTTTTACCTAAATAGATTACATATTGGGCTTATGCAATCTACATATTACATGTATATTGGCCTAATCTAAATCAGAAATTTAAAATATGATATATAAAAAGAATAGAATCTTTTTATATATCATATTCGAGGGAATTCCTCTTTGTCCATTAGTAAAATATTATTTAAGAAATCAGTTCAGGGTATAATATATTTAAAGAAATTAAAAGGCATTAAATTTTTAAAAATAAACAAAAATTTGACATTCTGAGTGAAGTAGGTTTAAAATGTGTAGCCAAAATATGGGAACCTGTGGTATTAAAATGTGAATTTCAGTTAATTCACCTGCAGGTTTCTCTCCTTCAACAGGATCTGGTGGTAAATGAGAATATTCAGGCATTTTAGGGCTCTTTAAGTCTTCCTCAGCTGAAGCAAATGTACCGTCATCTTGGGAATTGTTTTCATCATCTTCAACTTCTGATTTAATGACGTCTTCTGGCATCTCTCTGATTATAGAACAATACATTTAAGGTAAAAAATTAGATCTCCACGTAAAAGAGTGAGTGAATAAGAGTAAAAAAGGGAGAGGGAAGATTTTATCTCATTTTCTATATACTTGGATGTATATACAGGTGGTTGGGGAAGTTATGGAAACAACTAGTACATACTCTATATATATTAAGTTTGGATTCGTATGTATTTTTTATTAAATCCAATATATTATATATGAGGGTAGGGAATTGTTAATAATAAAGGTCAAACAGACCCATTGCACCAACAATCACGTTTGGCTAACTGTCATACTTTCATCCCTCGCTGGTGGCCCGCCAGCTTATACTGATAGTGTTAAAAGTGTAGTATTATATAGTTTGTTTAAATAAAACTTAATAAAAAAGCCGGTCAAGTGCGAGACACATTTGCGCAACGAGGATTCCGAAGAAAATCATCAAGTTTAAATTTTTTTGTGAAATAACTACAAATTTACGGTTTTCGGATTTTTTCCTTTCATGATTCTAGGTCAACGGGAACTACTCTACAGGTTTTCTCTTTGCGAATGTCAAAATATGCAATATAAATGAAACATAAACGGCCGTATCTTTTGATTGCATCGATTTAGAAGCTAGATTTTTCACTGCTTTAAGAGATTGCAGACTTTAATATAATATATGATATTAATATCATATGTTGTTGGTGTCTGTTTTCCAAAATAGAAGAATAAAATTGTATCCTTGTCGTTTTTAAATAATTAAATGTTAATTTAGTTTCATAATCTTGAAACATATTGGAATTTAATACCATTGTTATTGGCAAAACTCCCCTTATGTTCAGAAGTGGATAGATAACGGCTGAAATGATGATGATATATAAAATAAATCTAAAATATTTAATAATATTTTTGTCACTGGAATATACGAAATGTTTTGTAACTTACTCTTCAATGTACTGTCCGCATATTTCGTGGTATTGATTCAATTCTTGTTTGTACAGCAAATGTCCACGCAGAACGAAATCAAAGTACACCCGTAAACCATCCGCCACTTCGCGTACTAAATTTAATCTGTGGATAATATATAACGTTTGCTTTTAAATTTGGCCAGCATGTTTTTAATAAATAAGTTTGTATGACTATGTTACGATTCAAGGATATGGCAGTAAAATTACAGCAAAAGCAGGCATAGCACCTTAGTTCTGAAGAATGACAATATTACCTCTCATGAGTATCAGTTTTACCACTGTGGGTGGACACAATGTCTACAGGAGTCTGTTACCATGTCCTATCAGGTGGGTGGTGAATGATTTTATTTTAATTTGAAATATTTATTCCACTATAGTATATATTATTCTTGTTAAAAACCTCAATAAATATTTATTATATACATGTTATATATAATTATAACAAACTAGATAAAGTTTCAACCTGCAAGAGACGTCGAGGAGGTCGGGACGACGCGGCGGGTCGTGCTTGGCGCGCGCGGATTGTGGGGTGTGTGGAGTATGTACAGGTTGTGGAGTTTGTGGGGTTTGTGGGGCTTGTGGAGCTTGTGGGGTGTGCGGGGGGTGCGGGGCGTGCGGGGCGTGTGTGCGGTGTGCGAGGGGTGTGGCGGGTGCCAAGCGCCGGCGCGCGCGAACCACTTCACAAACGATTCCAAGATTTGCGCCGCGCAAGGCGCCGCCGGCAGCACGGACACCCGACCCCGCTTCACTACCAGGTGATAGTCGAATGTCAATCGGTCTCTGTACAAAAAACAAAGCAATTAACTGGGTAATTAATTAGTTGAACCATTTGGGTAAGCACAGTTCATCTTAGGTTTTACCAACATATACCATCAGGCGAGATAAGACCGAGTACAAAATCCATCATCTAATAAATAAAATCGAAACTTATTTTATTTGTTTTTAAAAACAAATGAACATAACGAAGTCACAATAAACTCGGCTGTTGTTATGTTTTCAAATTTTAAGATAGTTTATGCCCCCTATACTTATTAAATACTATTTGATCCGCCCGGCTTCGCACGGGTGCAATGTGTGTTTGTATAACTTTTAAAGTGTTCAACACACTTTAGTAAGGCTGGTATATGGACGTGTGTGAAAGTATTGCCCTAATATTCTTTAAAATTTTAAAATGAATGGCTTGTACAATTTATTTTACTTTTAACATAAAAATCATCTTTTTGGCTGAGATATTAAACTTAGATATATGGTGTCGCGGACATTTTTGTAAAGCAAGTTTCATTCCGGTAGCAGCAGATTTTTTGCAGTCTTCTCTTACAACTATTGTGATTAATTATTGAAAATATATATTTATCAAAATAAAAAGTAGTCTACAGCATAGATCATATACCTTTCTAACAGTAAAAGCATTTAAAATTGGAGCAGTAGTACCGGAAATTACCCTGAACATCCAAACTTACAAATTTTACCTCTTTATAACATTAGTATAGATTGTTGACTTGTAGGAAAGCCTCCTATAAATAACATGTTTCTGATTACACCTGTCATTAAAATTCATCAAGCAGATATCTATTATAATTTAAGTAATTGTTTTTATTTGTATAGCAAAATATTAAATTGTCATATATATATATATATATACATTTTAAAATTAGTAAGTTAGGTACCTGAGAGCAGAAGGTAGAGGTATGTGAGCTCGTCCAAGATGTGCGTGTGGGGGAGGCGAGTGCGGCTGTGAGCTAGAACCGGAACCAGATGATGAATCCGTATCACCAGTCTCACCTTCTGTTTTGTACAACATTCATATAGCTTAAATTAGCTACATCAATGTTATAATTTATATTCTACATACATATATATGAATTATTATGAATGTTAATAAGATGACTGATGATAATTAACTGATGATAGAATTGACTTTCCTAGCAATTCATGTCTGTAGGCTATGGTTACCATTTTCCATCAGATGGGCTGTCAGCTTATTTGCCATTCTAAGTTGCATAAAAAGAACTTCTGCACATAGACATGTATGGCAGAGGTTGCAGAGCTTTAAATACGGCAATATATTTCTGAGACCTACAAATATTTTGTTGATTGCTGTAACTCAATTTAGTGAGAAGCAGTATCTATAAGTTCCTTTTAAAAATTATTTAATGTTATATAGGGCCTACTGTTTACAGAAATGTAGCATCATAGATGTGTCAAAATGTGCTATGAAATTCATGTAACTAAAATAATCTCATGAAAAAAACACTATATGGACATAGATTTAGACATTTCTGCTATGGCCTCATGGACAATGAGCTTACAAAATGCATACCATCAGGTTGTGTGCTGCTAGAGGATCCATCATCGCTGAAGCCATGACGAGCACGTTTTGCAGGTCCCGCAATTGTATTTGAGCTACCACCCTTTTTACGCTCCCGTCGATATAGATAGGCACCACTGTGTATAAAATATGTTCTACATTAGAGCCTTAGATTAATTCATTTAAATAAATATTTTTTAATAAAATTTTCCACCTTCTAGACAAGCTATAAACAAATCTATTGATTGATAATATTTAGTCACCACCCACATTAGAAGGAACAAGACACATGTACATGGCCATTTTATTCTATTTCATAGACTTGCTAGCAATTTTAGCAATAGATTCATTTGTAATTTGTCTAGGGATGAAGTATTTTGTGATTGTTGTTTTCACTGAAAAATGTTTTTATTTGCCTATACATGTTTTTAGAAATGTCACTATATACTTGAGATTGTCATTTTAAAATCAATTGCATAAACAAATAATCAAAAGATAATAAAAATATTTAACTCTGCCTCTCTAACCACAACATTAGAATCAACAAATAAAATTGGTGACAGCTAATTAAATTAAAAGAAGAAAAGATAATAAAAACAGTGGAATAAAGTACAAGTATATATTGAACCATATTGCAAGTTTCAAACCATAGAGGATTATATGCAAAATCCTTCAGATTAGAAAAAACAAGAGAAAAAGTAGGTGCTGTCTTTCTTTGCCCTTATGATATGAAGTATTAATAATTATAATAATATTTATTAAATTAAGTATTATATAGGTAAAAAAAATACAGAACAAATTTTGTTTTTAAAGTATAAACAACTCACAGCTGTAATTGTGATTTTTCAGCAAGGTCTCGTTGTAACTGTCTATTTTCCTCCGTATCTTTTAAAACAAAGTCTTCACTGACACAACGATCCCAAGATGAATTCCAGCCTTGAAAGTGAATTAGGTATTCAACTGTGCGTCTTCCACGTTTGTCTTTACTTTCTATAACTTCTAGCACCTGTAATATTATAAATGTGAAAGTGAGTTTTTTTTTATTATTTGTTACTTTACAGTGTCTTAATAGTTAAACCAAATACTATGAAATTTGGAATACATGTACTATATAGGATGGAAAAAGCTATAGGCTATTTTTTATCCCGGTCACACAGACAGTCTGAGATAAAAGCTATACAGTTATATTATTATTGATAGTATAATAGTCTGTGTTATATAGGTAAATATTAGTAATTATAAAAAATATATAATTTTAGAGAAAGACAAGTTAAAGGCGGTGATACTGAAATAAGTATTGGCGGCAGTGAAAATTTTACAACAAAAAATTAAATAAACATCTTGATAAATTCGTTTTAGTAAATGACTACAGTTGTTTCAAGACTTTAGTTGTACATAGTTCATATATAAGCTTACCTTGGAATCGTAAAGAACTTTAGCTTTTGTAGGGTCTGGCTCATAGCATAACACACGCTCTCCTTCACTAAACTTGTAACGTACGCCTCGTGTCGAAACCATATTTTATTCTATTTATAATTATAATATCCTACAACTAAAGAGCTCAAGAATCAGTCAGAATTACCTATATTAGCAGTGCAAAATGTAATTGTAACAATCCAATGTTTGTTCTTGAAATTTTCGACTTGTTTAATTCACCTATAATATTTATTACACACTAAAACACTGATATTGTACCCTTACTTTTGAACATATATTTTTCTACGTTATAAGTAGACATTTGTAACTTTTCTGTAATCTTTATTGGATATAAATCGCTTTTGTTTATCGAAATCAATCAAAGTAGCGTCGCGTTTCAGTTTGCGCTGGATTGCGCTTTGCGGTTTTTTTTCTTGTTTCATTGTCATATATCAAAGTTGTCATTTTGTTTTGACAGTTTGACAGCTTATTTTTTTACATATAATAGTCACGGTTTAATGCAAAGAAACTTATTCGTACAGCTATGTGTGATTCTGATATATTTTATACTTTCTCACGTAAAAACTATTGAACACATTTGAATGAAGATAGGCACATTGTTCGGTCATATTCTTACTTTAAATATAACGATTCAAACGGGCGAAGTCGAGAAGGTATAATTAACCTAATCCTATTCTATTATTACAAATGCGAAAGTTTATAAGGATATGTGGACAACAATGGTTTGCTACCCAACGAAAGTTACATAAGTGGGTTACATCAGTTATATGCCACCTACGTTTGGGACATATCTGTACACCTGTATTCTTTACCAAAATCCGAATTTAAGATCACTCTCTGAATGAATGTGGCTTAGCTGAAGGAACCTTAGAGCATCTATTTTTTTAATGCCCCAAATTGACTCTTCCCCTCTATGACCTGTTGCCTGTAAATATTCCATTTCTTTTTACTTTAGTCCACTCTCCTCTGGTTAAGGTACTGACCAAATTTAAATATACCTACTAATAATATAAAAATTTAAAATATAAATATATGTCAATCTTTACGCTTTTGATAAATGGATCTTGCTTGTAAATTGGAAATATTAATGCTCGTTATTTAATCTTCCCCTAATCGAAATGGTTTACTTCCATGTTGATCTCATGCTTATTGGTTTCATCATTTTTGTATGGAACAAAACAGTTATTTATACAAGCACATTATATGCGTGCAAAAAGAAAAATAGAAATTTATTACAAATAGTTTCCTAATAATAAAAATTGGATGACTTTCATGGCATCGCGGTAGGCTTGTTACTTTGCGTATTTGAAGTCCCGAGTTTGATTTCCGGTCGATTCAATTAACTTTTCACACCGATGTGTGTTGCCTGGTTTCTAATAACACGAGGTATCGTGGTGTGATTGTGGTACTTACGTATTTACTATACAAACCGTGTAGCCAGCGTGGTGATATTCAGCTTTATTCTAATAATAAGTTAATGGAAAGCCAAAAGTTATATGACATTGATACAGACTACCTAACTTCAAAAATCAATAGTTTAGAATCTTCGCTTCATGATTTAAATACAAAGTATATTATCTCTCAGAAACAAATCCAGGAGCATATTTTAGCAATGGATGATCTGATTGATGTCAGTAAATACAATGCTGACCGTTTTGAGTCGTTGACTAAGCATTGTACATGTAATCACACAAATATATCAAATAATAATTCAGTTGTAACTGTGCTGGAAAATGAAGTTCAGGGTGTTTGTGCCAGTGACTGTAACCCTAAGAGTAGCACAATGGTGTTCTCTGACAGAATAGGCTGTAACTTTGGGTCTATTTTGAAGTATCATCTTAAGGGTGATTTATTAAACTACTGCATGCCAGAAGCATCATTTACACAAATAATAAATAAAATTAAGTCTACGAAAATGAACAATATGACCACAATTGTGTTATTTTTTGGTAATAGTATTCAATTAAATAGGCAGGATGTAATTAAAGGAATTGAATATTTATTACAATTAAATGTGTATAAGATTGTATTGTGCGCTTTTCCTTACACAAATAGACATTTTCATAAAAAAATTAACAGTAAGGTACATTACCTGAATAACTTATTACATACATTGACATGTCGTCATAGTGACATTTTGACATTTTTTGATACTAATAGTTTTATTAGTGATTTTTATTTGACAAAAGATACAATGTATCTTTCTAAATCATCTAAAAATAAAATAGCCACTTTAGTGGCTTATAATATTGACTACATGAACAGTTTACATGGTAAACTTAAACATAAAAATGCTGACATAACAGATAATTCTATTAATATTTGTGACATAAGGACTATGACTGCAGATTTAAACTGCTCACAAAGACAAAGGGAAAGCAATCAGAATTAATAATTGTTCATCAGAACATACAAAGTTTTCCCGGCAGCGAGTTAATTATACAATTATTTTTAGAAAAGTATAATATTGATATTGTCTGTTTCACAGAACATTGGCTTAAAGAAAGCAATATGATGTTCAATTTAAATAATTATAACGTTGTCAGCTGCTTCAATCGAAAGTCAGTTAACAGAGGCGGGTCTATGATAATTGCAAGAAATAATATTAAAGTAAAGGAACGTGCTGACATTGTTAGACTTTCTATTGAGTGTTGTATAGAATTATCTTGTATAGAACTAGAAAATTATATCCTTATATGTGTGTACAGGCCTCCTAATAGTGATTACAATGTTTTTGAAGGGGTGATGGAGGATATTTTAAAAAAAATATTTAATAGTATTAAAAAAATTATTGTATGTGGAGATTTTAACGTTGATATTCTTTGTAACACACCCACATGTACAAAATTTATTAGTTTATTTCAGTCGTTTGATTTATGTCATGTCTTTCATGAACCCACTCGTGTAACTGCCACGTCTGCTACTTGTCTTGACAATGTTTTTTGTAACTGCGAGTATACAGAAAAATTCATAATAAATAAACTTCCTTCAGATCACTGTGGTCAAGTTGTTAAGTTTAGCAGTCAAATCAATAAAGTCAACAATAATAAAAAATCAAAAAGACAAATAAATGTTTACAATATTAATAAATACAAAAGCGCGATTAAAAATAAATTGGATTTGCTGTTACAATCTAGTAATAATCCTGATTATCTTTACACCAAGCTAATTAATATTTTATCCGGAGAATATGAACAATTTTTCAAGAAAAAAGAAGTTCATGTTAAATCTAAATTCACGGAATGGGCAACAGTAGGAATACTTAAAAGTAGAAATATTTTGTTTGATTTATACGATCAAAAAAAATATCGATTTGATGACAAATTCACCACTTATGTAAAAAATTATTCTAAAATTTTTAAAAAAGTTTGTATTATGGCTAAGTCTAATTATTTTAATAAACAAATTAAGCAGTCTTCTGACAAAATTAAAACCATCTGGAGCATTATAAATAAAGAAACTGGAAGATCTAAAATAGCCTGTAATCAATTTACATTAAATTATGATAATAAATTAATATCAACAACAAAAGATGTAGTTAATATTTTTGAAGATTTTTTTGCTAATATTCCGATTGATATTACATCTTCTCTGGACTCATCTCAATCTCGAGCAAAAAAATTACTAGAGACTAATATCGGTTGTTGTTCTTTAAGATTTAAATTTTCACATGTTAGCCCCTTTCATATCATAAAAATATTCAAACAGCTAAATTTAAAAAATACGGAAGACCTTTGGGGCATGTCTGTAAAAGTAGTTAGTTCTTTCATAGATATTGTTGCTCCATATCTAGCCACTATTTTTAATAAATGTATTGATAATGGCGTTTTTCCACATTTAATGAAATTTAGCAAATTAATCCCACTATTTAAATCAGGAGATAAATTTGAGCCAGGGAACTATAGACCTATATCTATTTTGCCAGTTCTAAGTAAGGTGTTTGAAAAGATAATGTTAAATCAAATGTTACATCACTTCAGGGTTAACGGACTGCTTCACAGTCAGCAATATGGTTTCACCGCCGGCAAGTCTACCACTGACGCAGGTGTTGCGCTAGTGACACATATTTTCGAATCTTGGGAGAGGTCACAGGATGCACTCGGAGTTTTTTGTGACCTATCAAAGGCATTTGATTGTGTGGATCATAAAACGCTTTTGTACAAGCTCGAACATTATGGTATAAGAGATAATGATCTAAACTTAATGAGAACTTATTTAGAGGATAGGGTTCAAACTGTAGATATTGACGGTGTAAAATCTAAGGGAGCTAATATTAAGATGGGCGTTCCACAAGGGTCAATCTTAGGCCCCTTTCTCTTTTTAATCTACATAAATGACCTTCCCTTTATGGTAGAGAAAATTGCAGATATAGTGCTGTTTGCGGATGATACTTCGTTAGTGTTTAAAATTGGACGTCAAAGTAATCAATTAGACGATGTAAATTGTGCTATGTCTGCAATATTAAATTGGTTTACATGTAATAACCTATTATTAAATTCCAGCAAAACAAAGTGTATAAAATTTACACTTCCTAATGTAAGACTAATAAATACACAGTTATTGCTTAATGATGAAATAGTAAATTTTGTTAATGATACAGTTTTTTTAGGTATAACAGTGGACTCGAAATTACAATGGGGGCCCCATATTTCAAAATTGGCCAGTAGACTCAGTTCTGCTGCATATGCAATTAGAAGAATTAGACAATTAACAGACGTGGCAACGGCTAAACTTGTATATTTTAGTTATTTCCATAGCATAATGTCTTATGGCATACTGCTGTGGGGTAAAGCAGCCGATATAAATACTATATTTGTTTTACAAAAGAGAGCCATACGTTCTATTTATGGTATGGGTTCGAGAGAGTCATTACGTCAGTGCTTTAAAGACTCAAATATCCTCACAGTTACTTCACAATACATTTATGAAAATATTATGTATACACGGAAGAACTTAGAGAGTTTTAAAAAACTCAAAGACTGTACAAGTAGAAACTTACGCAATATAAATAAGCTTATTTTACCTAAATGCCGTCTGCACAAAATCAGTAATTCATTCTATGGTAATTGCATAAGATTTTATAATAAACTGCCGGAATCTGCATTAAATCTGACAGAGAGGCAATTCAAATCTTATATTAAACAATTTTTATGTAAGAAAGCCTATTACAGGATAGACGAATTCATAGATGACAACATATCAAGTAAATAATTAGTTTATTAGCATACAACGTTATAATTTTATTTTCTCATTGCTTTCTTGATTTAATTGATTAATTTTAGAAATATGAAAGCGTAGCGGTTTTTTGTATTAATTGCCGCATGCATTCTTATGTAAAATGTGAATACTATAACTATCAGATGGCAATTGTGAGTAGCTTTGACGTGGTCTAGTGTTTTGAGTAGTCATGCTCACTAAAATGTCCAGACTTGTGGCGGCGTGGTGGGCCGGGTCATTGGGCTCCCTAAAATATGGTCGAGCGCAGTGATGGCTGGCTCATCCGTCATACTCGTGAACGGGTGCTGCTTGTAGGGACTGGTCTGCTCTAATCACTATGACTGATTTCCTCTTATTAATTGTTTAAGCAGTTGGTTATGTATTCAATATTTTTTTTTTCTTTTTGAATATTTAATTGAATTAGTGCTAATTGGTGGTTTGTATTCACACAATTAAACTTGAAAATGTAAAGTAATAATAAAATTATTTAAAAGAGCAACACGCAAGTTTCTTGCTCGTTCTTCTTGTGATGAGACAGCTTTCCGAACGAGCGGTAGATTAAAAAAAAATGTAATGACTTTTCAAAAGTGCTTCAATGTAAGTTTATTTGAATAAATGATTTCTATTCTATTCTATTCTATTCTATTCTATTCTATTGTTATAAGAAGAGATTTATACCCGTCAGTGGTTACTGAGTTAGGATGATAATGATGAGGTATTTATATTAAGGTAGAAACGAAAAATTTAAATTTCACGAGGTTTACACGTTAAATATTATAAAATTATACATATTTCAATGAATACTAGTACGTAATTCCTCTATCCATGGTATACCAAAGAGTGATTATTAACCCTTTAGATATAAATAATCACCAAGTCCGCAGTTACATCTCAAATTCGACTCGACTCTCTGGCTGGAATATATTTAAGTACCAAGATTGGTATGTATGAAGTGGTGTAGGTTACAGAACACTGCAGCTAATCAAGTCAACCTCATCTAAGGGCGTAGGTGCCTGAATGAGACGGGTTATGTTGCGTAACAGTCTGGCCGCAGGCACCCGGCGACTAGTCTCGTGAGAACTATGGAAATATCAAGGTTGTTTGTACCGCGAGACGTTAACATATATTATGTGAATTCACCTTCTTCACCTCTAGATATTTTCATGACATGCTTGGTAATATCCAGTTGTCGATTATTTAGTAGATACTAACCTAATAGATTATTCAAGTAATTATTTTTCATTTTAGTAGTTTGAATATGAACAAGATCATAAGTCTTGTTAGAAGCAATTATAAAGCAAATTAGTGCTTCGCTTAGTATTCCTTATCTATGAATATTATTATTATTATTGTGGTATACTCATAAGTACATATCTGATAGTGTGGTCTTGAGAGGCTCTCGTCTTACTCGAAGTGTAACGGTGCGAGTGTGAAGTTTTTCCAAATGATGTAATTTTTCAATAAGTATTATTATTTTTCACTACTATTAAAATGAAGATTCACTATTGAATTAAGAATGAAAAATTTTAAAATGTAGTTATATTCATACTGTAAATAAAATTATTTCTTATTTATAGTTCACTTTTTAACTTAAATCAAAAGTATCTACGGTAACCTTATATATATAATTTGCATAATTTAAATAATTATGTACTGAATAAAATTGCTTGTTCAATATAGTTGCTCCTAATCGTGCTTGTTTGCGCTTGAAGGTGAGAAGCTTTTGGTTGAAATGAAATGCTTGTCCGTGCCTCAAGTTTTATAATAAATTAAAATAAATACAAAAGTGCGTGTAGTTCTATCCGTTAACAAAATTTGAATGTTTGACCTTCTAGCGGTTAAACGGTCTATATCTATGGTTCTAATATTGCAAGTACGAAAAATTTACTTTTTATTAAAACGTCTATACTGCCAAATCTTGAACATGCCCCCGGCCTTGGAAGCTTCAGCTTTCAATTTTAAAACCTTAAAACTAGAATTAGTCATCAAGTAAGGGACATATCTTGCTGTAAGCGCGTCTCACGACACCTGACGATGTGCGAATATCGGCTACTCTAGTGATGCCGTCTTTGCCAGGGAAGATCTTCACTATTCGACCGAAATGCCATTTTAGCGGCGGTAGGTTGTCGTCCTTAATAACTACTAGCATATCAGGCTGCAGTTCAAGTGTGTTCTTCCTTCCTTTAGTCCTTATTTGAAGTTCTGACACGTATTCTTTCGCCCAACGGGACCAAAATTGCTGTCGAATCTGCTCAACTCGTTGATAACGTGTCAGTCGATAAACAGGCGTCTCAGTGAAGTCATCACCAGCAGGCGCAGTAAGTGGACGTCCCACTAGAAAATGGCCTGGACTAAGAGGTGACAAATCTTGTGGATCTGAGGACATAGGGCTTAAAGGACGGGAGTTCAGGACCGCTTCAATTTGTGTCAACACTGTACTGAACTCCTCGTAGGTTAAGTGCGCGTTTCCTACTATACGACGTAAAATATTCTTACAGGACCGAATTCCAGCTTCCCATAATCCGCCAAAATGAGGCGCATAAGGCGGTATGAATGTGAATTGAATATTCTGAGCCGTGGCATATTCTATAATCTGTGACGAACAATTAGCTAAAAAATGTTTAAAGTCATTCATCAATCCAACAAAATTTCTACCATTATCAGAAAAAATCTCACATGGGTTGCCACGCCTAGATATAAATCTCTTTAACGCTAATAAATATGCATCTGTTGACAAGTCACTGACGAGTTCTAAATGTACAGCGCGCGTTACAAAACAAATAAATAAGCACACATAGCATTTTGTCGTCCTAGCACCTTTGCCCTTACGATTAAGTATGAGCATTGGTCCGGCGTAGTCCACCCCAGAACGCATAAAAGGAAAGCCCGAAGTTAAGCGTTCTTTTGGTGAATCTCCCATAAGGGGAGTAGGAGTCATACCTCTCAAGCGTTTACAAATAATGCAATCATAAACAACCTTCAACCTGCAACAACTGCTTGTGTTCGTGTCTGAATAGTAGTAGGGAGAAAATATGTTTAGATGAAATTAAAATCGGATGTTTTTTATCAAAATTAAAGTCGGGAGAATTTACAATCCGACCACCAACACGAATTAGTTTATTTTTATCAATAAATAAATTTAATTTAGACAAATTATGCTTATTAACTAGAGTACTATTATTTGTGAGTAACCTATACTCATCTGGAAACGATTCTAGTTGAGACAGTCGAGCCAAAGTTATATCAGATTCCCTCAATTCATCGACAGTGAGAGTACCTGACCGTTGAGTATTTTTATTGCGCGTATTATGAATAAAACGTTGTATATACGCGACAGTTCGTCTCATGCGACTATATTGAGAAAATCTAACAAATGGAAATAATGTACGTTCGCAGTCTTGATCAGTAGCGTAGGAATGCGTCACACTGGATTTCAGCTCAGGCAATAGTTGCTGAGAGTCAAATGAATTTAACGGTACATTATTGCAACTGAAGTTAGTGTGACGAAGAAAAAATGGGCCTTCCCACCATAAAGTAGAAGATGAGAGATCCTCCATCTGAATACCGCGCGAGATCAGATCAGCTGGGAATTCCTTCTCTCTGACATGACGCCATGGAAGTTCCTTCCCCAACTCATATATTTCTGCCGTTCTATTTTGTACAAAAGTTTTTTGTACTAAATAGAAGAGTCCTTCTTCTGAGACCTTGCATTCGAGTGCCAGCTGCTTTAGACACCTAACAATAAGAAACGGTGCGGAGGCTGTCCCATACGTTACCATGTTTAATTGATAAATACCTAACGGTTCAGATGGATTGTCACGCCACACAATCATTGGAGATCTGGAGATCGCGTTGTAATTCGTTTAGGAGACACTGCCTGTACATCTTTTCGACGTCTGCACAAGCAGTGTACCTATGTTGTCTGAAACGAAGCAAAATGTCAACTAAATCACCCTGCACTGGAGGTCCGATTTGTTGAATGTCATTTAAAGACACTCCACTACTGGTGGCGGCACTCGACTCGAACACCACGCGAAGTTTTGTTGTGCTGCTGTGCTCACGATACACGCCGTGATGAGGTAAAAAGAAGTGTGGGGTTCCATATAAAGTTACTCGCGTCATATGATCTAATCCGATGTATTCGTGTATAAATTTAAAATATATTTTTTTATAGTTAGAATTACGTTCTAATTGCCTCTCTAGTGCCAAAAAACGACGTTCAGCTTGTGACAAAGATTCACCCAAAACAGATGGCGACTGTTTCAGTGGCAAGCTGACGCAAAACCTTCCGTCACTATTGCGCGTGGTAGTACGAATGAAAGCTTCCTCACAAGAGCGTTCTTCGTCAGTCTGTATGTCACTAGTTTTAGGCACCTCTTCTAACTCCCAAAACCGTCGTAACTGAGTGTCAATAGATTGAGTGAAGTTACATTGGACAGACGTATTGATATTGTGCGTGTTAAACTCAATAGGCCCTGAAATAATCCAACCTAACCTTGTATTTTGTAAAAAGGGTCCATTGGGTAATCTCATTTTACCCTCGCATAATAAGTCCCAAAATAAGTCTGCGCCTATTAAAATATCAATATTTTGAGATTCATAATATTGTGGATCAGCCAGCTGTATATAGTCAGGTATCATAAACGACTGCGCGCGTTGACTATACATAGCAGTAGGTAGCGTAGATGTAATGTGCGGCAACACAAAACATTTAATGCGTGCGGAGTAATTGTCAATGCGTGATTTGATCTCGATATCACATATCTGTGATGACGTTGTTACTGTGTTGCCGACACCTCGAATTTCGCAAGTGGACTGTATTAAATTTATATTAATTAAATCGCATAGTGGTTTAGAAATAAAACAATGTTGACTACCACAGTCGAGAAGCGCGCGTGCTAAGTGAAACTTATTGTACCTATCGGCTATCTCGACTATAGCTGTAGACAATAAAACGGGTCGCATAGTAGATTGTTTGTGAATTAAATTAAAATTATCTATGTGTGTACTGTTTACTCGAGACGAATGAATTTGCGCGGGGATGGACTGCGCGGGCGGTGCGACGGTCGCGGGGGTCATTTGACTAGAACCCGGGGTTCCAGTGTCGGATAGATGCATTGATACGACCGCTACTCGATCAGTCACGTTATTATGAATAAGCGTGTTGTGTTTTTTAAAACACAGTCTGCAAGGTCCAAATTTGCACATATTAACTGAATGCCCTGGACGTAAACAGTTCTCACATAATTTATTTGCGGTTATAAATTGCAGTTTAGCGTCTAAGTTAGTGTCCAAAAATGTTTGACATGAATAAAGTGGATGATTGGCGTTACACATTAAACACGATTTCTTAGTAGACGTGATTCGACCTTGCTGTGACTTATTGGTGGAAATATTGCAGTGCACTTTATGATGTGATGTTTTATGTGACGGATAATGTGACGATTGTTGTAAAGTCGCGTTTTGAGTTTTAACGTCACTGTTAACTCTGTGTGAAACTAGCAATGTTTCCAACATGTCAGCCTTGTCTCTGAGGAACATGAGTAAATCATCTACCTTCAGTGAAGAAATATCATTAATATATTTTCGTGTGGTGCATTTAAATTGTTCCCATTCACGTTCGGTGGTTTCATCTAACTTAGACGTTATAATAAATATAATTAACGTATCCCAGTACTCAGTAGGCTCACCTAATATTTTTAATGCGCGTAAATTTCTAAGAATAATATCTGTCAGTTTTCTGAGTGCATGTGGTGATTCCTTAGAAAGTTTTTGAATAGTGAATAAGGCCTTAACGTGGTTATGCACCAACAGACTGCTATTGTTGTATCTGTTGAGAAGTAGTTCCCATGCTACCACATAGTTACTAGCAGAGAATTCTAAGGAATCGATAACTAACTCCGCGCTTCCCTTTAGTGACGATTTTAGGTAGTGGAATTTCTGTATATCGCTAATTTCATCGGAATTGTGTACTAGAGATAGAAAAATGTCTCTGTATTCGATCCAATGCTCATACGTTCCATCATATACAGGTAGGGAGATGGTCGGAAGTTTTATAGACTGTGACGCCCTATTACTGCCCTTACTGGACGCACTAGTGACCTCTACCGATTTGAGCAAACATTCAGCTTGAGCTAGTGCATGATAATAGCAATCTTCAAACAATTCTCGTTGCGTCAGCTGTGAATCTAAATCTGAATCTCGTACAATTTTTTCGATTTTTGTTTGAACATCGCTAAATTCTGCAAATAAGCTTGTAATACCTTGCATGCGTAATTTTATATCGGCGCATTTTTGATTAGTTAATTGTTCGAGGGTAATATCACTAACGGCATTAGAAAATTTAGTAAGCCTGCTTTTTAATATGCCACGCGTCTTGACTAGATCCTTTAGCAATTCATTATCGTTTTCATTATTAGCGACTAGCCTATTAGGGGATCTTTCACGATTTATTTTAACACTAGCCTCATTTATACTCATTTTGGCAAATTATGAAGGTACTTACGTTTGATTCTTGGTCTGTAAGATCAGCCTGTGCTAGCTGCGACACAAAGCTGCTTCTTATTGCTGAACACAAGAATTGTAACGTGACTAAAGGCACGGTGTGACACAATTGAAGCGAAGGAGATGGGGTTAGGGAGGATGGCAGACCGTTCCGGAATGCGTTTATGGACGATTGCTGTCTGCTGCTGCTCCTCCGACGCCTTAACCTCGATCCTTACTAGATGTCTTCTCACTTCTCGTAGTCCAAAACTTGTGCGATGAATTGGCATACGATGAGTCCAATGGTCGCTGACTCGTACTTTGCGTATTATTATTCGGCAACGAAGGTCCAAAACACGTATGTTTGCGCTTGAAGGTGAGAAGCTTTTGGTTGAAATGAAATGCTTGTCCGTGCCTCAAGTTTTATAATAAATTAAAATAAATACAAAAGTGCGTGTAGTTCTATCCGTTAACAAAATTTGAATGTTTGACCTTCTAGCGGTTAAACGGTCTATATCTATGGTTCTAATATTGCAAGTACGAAAAATTTACTTTTTATTAAAACGTCTATACTGCCAAATCTTGAACATGCTTATAACTTGTTTAAATTAGGATAACCTATATCAGATAAAAGGATAGAAGAAAAAACTTAATTAAAATAATATACATTGTAGGTAAATGAAAATAATGTGATATTAAAGTAAAAAAATAATTTAATGAACCTACACTAAATTACGTAACTTGTCTACAATACACAGTTGAATGTATTTAAAATAATACATTATTCTGATGTATTTTTAAGTTTTGGCATTAATTTAGTGGTGGTAGATAGGGGCAGAGTACGCGACGGGTGTGGCGAACTTCGCAACAGGAGCAGCGTGCACAACGGGGGCAGCAGCGTATGCCAATTTAGCGACGGGTGTTGCGTATGACACGGGGGCGGGCGCGGCGTATGCTACGGGAGCAGCAGCGATCTTAGCTACGGGGGCGACTTTCACAGCCAATGGTTCCCTGTGTACGACAGCGTTGAAACCGTTGTGTGGGTCAGCGGTGTACTCAACGGTGCGCTTGGTGCCATCGGGTTCGACAACGGAGTAAGAGCCCTGGACAACATCACCATCGCGAGTTTCGTGTTGGGTCTTAGAGTCACCGGTAACACCGTCTTGAACGTCGTAGGCGAAGCTGTATTGGGGGTGTGGGTCGTATTCTTCCACGGCGACTTTGGCGACTGGGGCAACGGCTGCAACTTTAGCGACTGGGGCAGCGTAGGCTACTGGACTAGCGTGGTATGCCACTGGAGCAGCGTGATAAGCCGGTGCGGCATAAGTCAGGGGTGCGGCTGGGACAACACCAGCGCTGGCAGCTGCCACCATACAGGCGAGTACTACGAACTGAAAATAAAATTTTCAATTAGAGGTATCGTAATCGTAACACAACACTTTATCACTGACTCTTCACTATAATCACTGTATCATAATATTTCTACGTTATATATTCATACATATAACACATGCATACCTTGACTGCCATTGTGTAGTAAGTGAGTTGATGTGAGATGTCGAATGATGCTTGATGAGGACCGTTTGGAGCTTTTATACAAGAAGCGGGGGCGCACCCTTTCACTCTTAGGAGCCGCGTTATCTTCAAGTGACCATGAATTCTTGCCCCGAGGTGTGATCGCATTTCCAGAACTTAGGACTAGTATCGTTATTCCCTATAAGAAATATGACATTACTTCCGTATTTATGAACTTTAAACAAAATTTATATTATACAATATAACAAATTAATCAATATTCGACTAGTAGTTAGCTTGATTCGTACACTGTATGGTTTACTTACCGATTTGTTACACTCGTACATACTTATTTATACACATAAATATAAAAGTAATAAGTTATTGTACTACATACATTACATCATTACACTACAGCAATACATTAGCGTATTTTTATATTTTACGGGAATGCTATTTCCTAATACTAGTATATTGGTTGGATAATGAAAATAAAAAAAAAAAAAATACAAACCTTACATTTTATTTTAAGCACATGCACAGGCATAGATAGAGATCGTTATATTATGTCTAAAGTGTATCTGTTTGGCTATTTCTATAAAAGTATTCGTATTAATTTCTCCGATTAAAATTGTCAGGTAAAAATTGATAATAATTTTGAATTTGAACAACGTTTGTTATTGCTGCTAGTTAAGAATAAAGTGTAGAATAAAATTATATTTACGAATATTTACAAATATGTAATTTGGAAACATTTTCTTTATTCGCAAATTGTCAAATACATTTAAAATAAAATATTTCTATACATGCTTGAAAACATATAGGTACATATACAGGGTGGTTATTGTTAGCAAGTGAGTTTTATCTTTGAAAAAGACCTCTCCCTGTTAACCTAATTTAAACTAACGTTCCAAAAAAAGGAAGTTTCAAGTCTGAGCTTTACCTGTTTTATAGGAAATTAAAATGAAATGATAACTTAGCCCGCGCTTATGTATATGTTGACAGAGTATCAGTATGGGATGATAAATAAGTGTTTTTTTTAATGGGTGATAAAGGAATGGTAACTCCGCCCGCGCTATCGGTATACGTTGTCGGGGCACCAGTGATGATAGATGACGATGAAAGGAGGTCAGTTAGCCCATTGTGACGAATTCCACTAAAATTAACCACGATGGTTGGGGGGAAAGGGATTGTTAGTAATGGAGACTAAAAATCGCATTGCTAGCAATATACTCAACCAGGTCGACCTCCTCATGGTTCTCTCTGGAAACTATCATGGTTAATTCCTTATGAATTCATCATGATGGGCTAACTGGCCTGTTTTCATTCTCATTGATCACCTTTCACTGGTGCTCTGTCAGCGTATCCCGTTAGCGCAGGCAGGGTTACCATTCCATTTTCATCCACCAAAAAAAAAACCACGATGATTTCCAGGGAGAACCGCGTGGAGGTCGACCTGATAGGGTGTATTGCTAGCAACGGGTCAGTTAGTCCCCATTACTAACAATCCCTTTCCGTCAGGAAACTAAGACAGCTTCCAGAGAAACGCGTGAGGATCGACCTGGCAGAGTATAATTATTGCAAATAATGGGGCTGTCAAATTGCATTCCTAGCAATACTCGCAGTCTTACCAGTTATTTTTCTCAACTGGAGATTGGTTTTTACTAATCAAAATTAAAAGTCATTATGGGAATACTATCTATCTATCCTATTTAAGAGGGGCGCTCTTGTCACTCATTACGATATTCAGCGAGTCTCTTCACCTCTTGATACGACACGACACCAACTCCTTTCTTGATCTGCTTGATGTAACTATGCCTCGGTCTCCCTTTTCCTTCTATTATAATGTTCATAAGTTCGTCGTGTTGTATCAAGTGTCCCATAATAGAATATAGAATACTATCCTCATCATATTTTTACAACAATTTGCAATTATTAAATTGCCAAATGTCTAATTATGAATTTATAAATTTTGTTAATTGAATAACGCATGGGGGCACTACATATTTAGTAATTTTTAAATTTCCCATTCGCAATATATGAAATCGTATAATTTTCTTTGATAGGTACCTAAGCATTTAATTCAGATAGACGTCGCCAAGGTATACATCTTTTTAATTAAGCAGGTATAGAAGTGTCGACATATGAAACTACAAACGCAAGCAGCAAACCTCTGCGGTATGTGTATGCAGTAGGTATAAAATAAGGTTAGAAACAGCATCGCAGCGCCCTCGAATAAATGTCATCCATCTACAAGAGCTTTGTCAACAAGTAGATACGAGTATAAGAAACTTCAGTTTATGATGTTTTTATATCTACTTGTAGATTAGTATTTTAAAATGCTAATTTAATTGAATTCCGAGTACCTAAGTTTTATGCTCTCAGTAATATATATTTTGATTTTTTTTTTTATAAATTTATATCTATAATTTTGAAACTGAGTGCACCATCGAGCGATTGATGAAGTTGTTTTTGTAATAATAAAATTATTAAAACGCAATTATTATACAAATCGATGCAATAATTTATTACTTTGATTGACTTCAACTGTAATAAAATAATATGGGCTAAGAACTACGAAAATTGGTTCCGAATTGGCGATGATATCGTTTAACATATGTGTACATAACATAAAAATATAAGCAGATTGATAACCACCTTCTTTTTATTGTTCCTTAAAACTAATTAACATTGTTAAGCAGCTTTGACCATGTAAATTAAGATAAATATATATATTATCTATATGTTTATCTAGAATATGGTTTATATGGGTATAATTAAAATTTTCATATCAGCAAATTATAATCATTCTACCCTTATTCTAATTATTATTTGGGGTCGGCGTAATGTTTTTATCCATATTACAAAAAGATTTGGCTTTTAGTTTTACGACCGGCCGCCTGCCTGACGTCAACCCTCTTTGGAATCTTTATACCAGCAAATATAATTCTATTTTTTTCTGCCCTTTAAAATGTAATTGATTAACAAACAGTTAGATTGTAGGTATCCATATTTATTAAATTTAACATGTAAGTATATTATTGTAAATAATTGGATTTAAACTTTTAAAATTTGTTTTATAGTCAATATTAAAAATACAATAATATTTTCCCAAATATAAGACGTCAATAAAAAGTTTTAGAAAATGTAAAGGTTTTTGTAAAATAATCTCTACGTTTGTTTGACCCGGTAGCGACTACTTATTCTGAAAATTGATGCGCGAGATGCTCAAGCAATACCTAATGTTGTGTGCGTGAGTGCTCATTTAAAATTAAAGCTCGTAATTGCGGTTATAAGGTCTTTTGGCTACGAAACTCTGAATAAAAGGAATATTCACCCTCTAGCTTCATTTTGTAAGTTGTGATGAAATATAGTATTAAAAATGAGTTGGAGTACGTAGGTTTGTTAATTTTCTATAATGCGACATATAAGCAATAAGCCCTGCGGCTCAGTTCGCACAAATCAAGGTCTGTGGAAGTGGAGCGACCCGTACCTCGGTCGTCCGCGTGGCTCTCATGTATGTACGTACTTTACCTGCATGAACTTTAGGGCTTGCCAAGAATAGTATTGCGATAAATTGTTATAATTATCATTCTACATTTATATTATTTGTAACATCAACAAATCATATAAATGTAGTACTATAAATTAAAATTTCCATTAGATTTAATATAATTAATAAATTTATTTAATTAACTGCTGTTTTAAAACTACGAGTATATTCAAACTACAGGGTCTACTTCCAGTTGGAGTAGGTAGTCGAAAGAAGGGTGAATGTTATTGTTTTTTCCACTTACGTTTCGTCGTGCGTTTAATATATGTATGTATATATGTTTAATAATATGAAACGATTTCGGTGCATCCTATCATATTGGATTCAAGAAATAATGAGTTGACTGTCTTCTATCGCAAAATAGATACTTCAGTTTGTTAACAGTATTTATCATCGTCAAAGAGTTAATCATAAAATTAAAATTACTTAATGTTTTTTATTGTCAGCTAGATTAAAATTAGTATTTTAAGAAGACATCAAAGTTTAGATTTCAATAAATACCTAATATATATCAGAGTAGGAATATTTTAAAATGAGCAAGACGTTTTATGTACGCAGTAGTATAGTTTCGTCCATATTATTAACAAGATAACTAAAAAATGAAGAAAATGACAATATTTTTGCAAGAAGTCTTAAAAAGTTATTAATTACTAAATGCTACTACACTATTAACGAATACTTGAATGACAAGCAGAATTTATCTTGTAATTTATAAATAAATAACTAATTATGAATTGATAATGATTTAAGACATAGCTAAAACTGACATTGCTGCAATTTTATTATTAAACTATTTATTGATTAATTTTACAATATGAATATAAATAATTTTAAACTACAGAATATATTAAAGCTTAAATAACTATATAATACTAATAATAATTACGATATGAATAGATACACACCAATACTTAAATAATGAGTAATAATAATAAGAAAATACGTACTTATCGTGATATACTATTTCGAAAGTGAAAAAAGTGTTGTCCTCCTCTCTCCTAATTGCTGTGCCCAACAGGGTCCATAATTGAAACCTTATGTAATAATTATGTATTATGTATTAATTAATTATTATGGAATGCAATAAATAAATAAATAAATAAAAGATAATAATATACTTTATATGCGTTGGCCATGTGATCTCAGTATACAATATATCACCACTTCCTTTCCTGTGGGTGTCGTAAGAGGCGACTAAGGGAGGGCGAGAGATGGGCAGCAGTGTCCCTCTTAAAACATCTCTAAAGTTTAATTACGGTTGCCAATACGCCTGCCAAGCGTGGCAACTACTGGCAAAATCCCCCAAGCGGGAGGCTTATGTTCAGCAGTGAACAGTTAAAGGCTGATATGATGATATGCGTAAATGAATGCACATATGATGACTGCATTCATATAGCACTGGTATTTATGACTTATGGGTGCAAGAACATTTAAAATGTTGCTTATGAGTATTTATTGTCAAAATGTACCTGTTGCAAACAATTTAAATGGTTATAAAGGGTTCAATATCTAATACTCTGAATTTAGAAACATATTTATTATTATTAAATTAAATGACAGCGATTATTTTAACAACTTGCTAGCTAGAGACAGATAATCTAATGCAGGAAAAGTATAAGAAAAAAAGAATTTAGCGTAAATGCA